CCTCTCTCTCTCTCTCTCTACACACACATACCACCTCCTTCACGATACACTCTTTCGCATAAAGGAGCAAAAAAACGGAAGTACGCGCAGCACGCAATCACACGCACTGCGAGCACGCAGCACTGCATGCGACGCGATCTCACACAGAGCATCAGAAAGATTCTTTTTTGGCAGTCAATCTCTCCACAAAAGAAACAGTACTCGTCAAATTCACATTTTGAATCTAGAAACCTTATATCAAATGAAAATAAATTTTCAAACATCCTAAACAATGTTTACAAAATCGTCTAAAGTTAACTGAATTTGTGTTCCTTTAATAATGCGCAACGTACCAAAATTAAAATGCAAAATATATCCAGCGATATTCAAGCGAAGACCGAAAACGGACCTTCTCTTGCGCTTCCGTGTACTATCGTAGTATCGTAAAACGCAAGAGAAATATCAGAGTGATCGCATTGTTGACGCATAGGAACACGCTTCTATTCAGATGACTCGTGCGTGAAAATGTTAAAGGTCCATGAGCGTGACGTCACTCATCGGTGTGCTGCCTGGCTTGCAACTAGACAGAGATGAGAGAGAGACAGAGAGAGAACGAGAGAGAGACAGACACGTGCGCTCTTTGATTTCACAATGACTTCATACATCGATATTGCGTCTATATGTCGAGTACTGAATGACATTAAATGATATAATTACATACTTCAATACAAACATAAAGAACTATTTTACGATTATCTGGGGGGTTGTGCAACCTAAGCACGAGACATCACTGCTTTAACGATACTAACCGTATGCCCGCATAAAATGCGTTGGACAGACTCCAGGATGTTTTATGTTAATCGCATAGGCTGAAGGCCGGAGCTTCGCCGCGTCGTTGGACACGCGCCTTACCTTTGAAGTCTGAGGTCGTAAGCATGACGTCATTCTGCCCGCGCTTGCGCTGGCGCGGCGCGTTGTTGTAGTCGTTCGCCATGTTCTCATGGGAGTGAGTCGATTCTCTCTCGTTCGTTACGATAAGGATACAAGACGGTTTAACACTGTGGATAAAGCCTAATTTTCTTTAGTAAAATTCAATTACGTTATTTTTTGGACTGTTATAACTTCTAAAAACGGATGAAAATCGTAGCTAACTTTGAGACGTTTGAAATATGTATTAAGAAATTCCCCATCTGAACCCCTTTTGCGGATTTCGAACTTTTTTCATGCACGTATTGAATTTTAGGGTTATAACATGCTTTTTTGAAAATTATACATGTCACGTGTACCTCATTGTAAAATTGTTATTATATGTCATAGTTTTCTTAGGTTTCCGATTGATTAAAATTCATTGACTGTCCTCTTCATAACAATATTTTTCATTTTGCAAAATAAAATTCAATTACAAGAACTGGAGAAGTGTAATTAGATTTGTTTTATTCATAGGTCAGAGATGTGGACTTTTTGCACGTTTCTGCAGTATTCCTGCGATCTGTAATAAAGTGAACGGCAAGGAACATCCTGAAACTCATTATTTAATATTTCGCGCCGACTATTTTTCAGTTATTTTCTCCTGATGCAGCTTCAGTATTGTCACTAAACGTTCAATACTCCTAACACCTTGTAACTTATTCGTCTATTTTTCTTTGAGGCCATTTCTCGTACTCATCTTTACAGAGCTGTAAACTCCAAGTTTGTGATCATATAGCTTCCATATTGGCCCCTATGCTGACTGCAGAATCAAGAGCAAGACGCGTGGGAAATCTAGGAAGCTCTGAAAACAGATGTTCCAATCAATATGGCGAAGGTGGTGGTGCGGGGGTTTTATGGTAAAATTCTGACAGCTTAAAATTGAACGTCATTCGTACAATAAAATTCTGTAATCGGATCATGTGAGTGTGTGTTATAAAATATGAGTAAAAATCCGCCGTACTCTTCCTCGAACAATGCGACGCCGCCTTCAGTGTTACCTTCATGTCTTCGAACTCGACCCGATAGTACTCGAAGAAATCTTTCGTTTAGTGTTTCCTTTCCAGAAGAAGAATGCAACCTTATTACTGGGTTTTTAGAGCCAGCAAATCCATGGGAATACGGTAAGGCGACAAAAAATGTGACTTACGATAAAGTGAAATGCTTTTAACCCGAGATTCAAGTGTTTTTTTACGTTTTTTTTATTTTCATTAGCATAGTGGGAGTAATGAACATCATTGACCTCTTTGTAATAAATTTTGCCATTATTAAAAAAATATATTTCAGGAAGTAAGAAAGTTTGGTTGGAAATTGTGGCAAGATGGCGTTGTCTTTCGCAATTAATGAGACGTATGGATTTTGTGTTCAGTGAAAATCGTTTCTGTGAACATAATCAATTAAAGCGATTTCACCAGTGAGAATGAGCTGGATCATTTGCTTCTGACTTTTCTGTATTTGGACTTCATATTTGTGATCGGCCGTGAATGAATTAGTATTTCTAAAGTATTACTGTTGAATTTATAGTTAGATTATTCTTCAATCGCTACAACAGTTTTCAAAAGTTCTTAAGAAGGTAGTTTATGTTTGACAGCCCATCTCTTTAACAGAAATTAACTTGTGAATAACAGTGAAAAAGCAGTATTGTTTGTTTGTGAATTTGCATGCTTTTCTAATGAAATTGTATATTTTTTTGTTATAACGGACCATAAGAACAAGACATTTCATTACAAGATAATATTGTGCTTCTAAATAATTTATGTTTCTGAATAATAGAAAAACAGTTGTTGATTTGTTTTAAAATTGGAAATGTCTGTGGTTTTTTTCCCATTTCTTTCTGTTTTTAAGATTATTTAATGCTTTTTTTTCTTTCACAAGAAATGGTGCCTTTTTTTGTTTCTTTATAATTTAAATGAGCATACAAAACCGCTGTGTATTTTATTGAAGTCCTGTTAAATGTCAGTGTTTTTAACAATCATTCTTACTTGATGATTTCGTATAAGTGAACTACAGTATTTTTTGTAGTAGTGAATGTTGAAAGTGGGCTTTACTAGCTATCAGATTGTTCCTTTTCTCTTCCTTTTTGTGCATTACATTATGTTAAGTTGAAGATTGACTGTGCAATGTATATTATTATAAAAAGTATCAAAGTTTTATTGTAATGGTTTGTACTGAACTTGCTGCAATAAAGTTATCAGATCTGTTGTTATGTGTCCTGTTATACTACTTAAGTCCTCATTTTCATAATCATACACAGGTTCAGGTACTAATTAGAGAATTTAAAGAAAATTGTTGAATCTAATATCTCCAATACTTTGAATTTATTAATTAAGTATACTTTTCACTACAAATAAAAATTGCCATTGAAGTCTACCCTTTCAAATTTTAGAATGTGATGATTTTTGTAAGTAATGTTTTACAATATTGTAATTAATTCTGAAATTTTATTTTGATGTATTATGCTTTTAATGATATTGCATTAGAGATCAGGAAAGATAAAAAACTGGAAATTGTTAAAATCTTATAAATATGTATGTAGTTCAGTAGTAATTTCAGATCGTTTCGAATTGGCTATTGACATTTGTGCTCAGTAATGCACAATGAGTAAGGTTTCCAAAGAATTGTACATTACTTTGTCTAATTAGTTCAAGATTCAATTTTTTAAATTTTCTGTCATTTATAGAATTTGATTGAATCTTTTATTTAGTAGATATCTTAATAGAAGTTTGTCATGGAGTTATGACCATAACAATTAGATATTAAATATTTTTCCATAAGCAAGGTTGTGATAAAAGGTGCCCAGAATATTATTAATTATTACTTACAATAATATTAATATTTTCGTCTGGATAATTATGTGTGGAGATAATTCAAAAGTTGATACCAAGATAAATTTTTGGAATTTATTAGTGTAACAAGATGAGTTGTGAGTAGTATCATTTTGTCCTTCCTCTTTCCTAAACCAATCATTTGATTATGGTATTGTTTGTCCATACCTTTGTGTTAATTATGCTAAGAAAGAAAGTTGTAAGGAATGGGTATTTTCTTATGGTAAGTATTGCTAAGCATAAAGCAATCCAACAAATATTATATCAAATTCATTGCATGAATGTCTGAATATCATGGAAGAGGTTTTAACTTAATTTATATTTAGGTAAATAAAAGTAATAAGTGTTATATTTTTCCGTTTTTATTGTAAATATTAATCACATTTGCTGCATGTTCTGTAAGTGTGAGATATTGAAGTTTGTCTAATATACATGAATCTGTGTTCACAGATTAATTATTGTTATTATTTAAATAAGTTGTTCATATTAATTTATCTTGAGGTGTTGAAGTAAAATGCAAATGTATTATCTAATTTGAGCTCATGGTTACAAACAATTTAGGGACAGTAAAATTAAATTCATGTGAATTTTTAATTGTGTACCCGTACTAAAAATACAGTGTGTTATGCCCTATTGTAATGCTTTCATCACAATCTTATATTTTACAGCCTATTTGTTCTCCAGTTATTTTAAAATTTAGTTAGTAGCTGAACAAACAATAGAGACTAGCTGCTTTTTATTGATATAGTGCTAAATTATGACCTTCATTGCCTTTCCAGCAGAGAATGTAAATCATGAAGAAATTATTTCAAGTTATGTGACATCATGTGAAAAACACGGTACAAATCCTCTGCCTCTTGTGGTGGAACAACTGAAGGTAAACCATCATTTAATTACATTTTGAAGCTATATATATGTATCTGTATCACTCCAGTGCATGGTTTTGACATAGAGGTAAAACTATATTTGAATTTTTAATGTGAGTTCCTGTTTTTGACTGCCCTTCATTGTTGCAATACATGTTACTTCTTTGGATTTCTACAGACTCTGGATATCCAGGCATCACGCAATGATTGTCTTGACCTAAAGGGTGCACCTTTGGCAGCATTAGCTTGTGAAGCTCTTGAGGAAATACTAAAGCGAGTGCAATTCAAGAATATTAATTTGGAAACTACAGCGCTTGATGATGAGGTTTGTTGGATTGCATGGAATTTGTCTTTAAAGTTCTTGTGATAGTAAAATACTTACCATATTTTCAGGAGAATGATCGAAGATTTTTTTATGTAGACAGTCAGTTTTATTTCTATTGTCACATTTATTGGTATAAGTTAAAGTAATATACAAGTTTATAAAAGAAGAATGATCAAGAAGGTAAATACTTTTCCTGAACATTTCATTTCCATAATTTGAAATAAATGTACGTGTGTTGTTGGAAATGTGTAAATGTGACAATAGAAATAAAATTGACTGTCTATACAAATAAATCCGGAACCATTCTCCTGAAAATATAAATTAAACAGTCTAGGATACTGATCTAAAATATGTACTCTTTATCAATTTATTTTCTTCAGGGATCTGTGGCTTTATTTGATATGATAGAATACTATGAAAGTGCTACCCACTTAAATATATCTGGCAACAGAGAAATTGCTGGAAGAGGATGGCAGGCTTGCTCAAGAATGATCAAGAAGGTAAATACTTTTTATAAACATTTTATTTCCATCATTTGAAATAAATGTGGGTGTGTTGTTGTTGGTAACTTGTTGCTTATTTGAATGTGGAAACTTTTTGTACATTTACCCTTATCTACTCTACATAATTCTTACTGTTTTACAAACACTAAGAATTAATATTTTTAAGATTATATTTATGATAAGGACAAGAAGTAGGATTGAAAAAATTGACTAGAAAATATTGAGGAATTCATGAAAAGTAAATTAACAGCACATGAAATATTAGTATAAGTGGATTAATAAATATACTATTCTAGGGGAGTGTTTGTTTTTTTGTGAAAGAAGTTACCAGCAAAAACGCAGGATGAGAAATATTGTAACTTAATCAGTAAAATTGAAAAATTGCTAATGCAATTTCTAGAAAGTGTATTAAAGAATAAAATTATCATTGTATTTTTTGCACAATTAGTAAAAGAACTGTAATTCCTTTAACAACTAGCCTTTGAACCGAAGGAATGGGTTGTGAACATTGGCAAAGTACAGTTTGTCATGAGGTCCATTATTGATCATTTCTGAAACAACAGTCCCCCCTACAAGAAATTGATTACCTTAGTAGTTGTTTGTTTGTGTGTGTCATAATTCATTAAAAGGCTAAAAGAAGTTCATACTTATATTTAATATTTAAATGAAGAGCAAGACTTTATCTATTTGTAAATTTCTTGGAATTGTTGCATAAATGTCATCATTTATAAATAAAAATTCAATTGACAACGTTTTGTTTAAAAAAATTTAATTTGGACTCAATCTGGCTGGTCCCCTTCTCCTGCTAGTCAAGAGTTAAGTCAAGTTGAGAAGGTGTTAGGAAGTTAGAATTCATATTTTACGGCAAACTTAGCATGCAAAATAGACCAGCTGGGTTAAGCTCTGAGCCGGCACTGCCACTGACTCTGTTGTGACTCTTGACTGGGAGGACCCAAGGGGTGGAATTTCATCTCTAGCTACTTGGCAAGGTCGAATTCAGATATTGAAGGAGAATTGTAACAGCTAGTCACTCTAATCAGTAGTGTTCTGTTTTATCCTCTGATCAATTCCAAACATTCTGGAGCGTTACTATAACAAACGTGCCACACATGGCACACAATTTTTCCTTGTCGTATCCTTTCCCCTTGCATTTACACTTGCATGTAGCCACTACACTACACTCGTCATGTACTAACCACTCAGAAGCTTAGAGCTTGTCTTGGCTGGAGAGAGAATTCTCCCCCAAGTCAACCTGTAGATCAGCATTACATCTGTTCATCCTGCAGGAGATGAACTCTTTCATCTCCCACAATAAATTATAGAAATTTTCTCAATAATAGCTCAAATTTGTTGCGGTAATACAACAAAGTATTAGTTTCAGTGAGTAAAATTTCAGTGAAACTATTCAAATTTTGAGTTTTTTTCAAACCTGTAATGCAACCTCTTTATTGTAAAAGATTTTCTGCTTAAGAAATATGTTCCTTAAAATTAGATCTTTAAATAATCCCATAAACTGTTTTCAAGTCAGGGATAGTTTCTATATTAGCTATGTAAATAAAAAACCTTTTTTAGTTTGCCCCCTCGTTTGTTGATATCTGAGGACACTGCATGTTTTTTTTTTCCTTATTTTCAGACCCGTTGTTTGGAACAATTGGAAGCTCGAAATGTTACTCTTAATGAACAGTATATGCCCATTCTTAGTAGGGCCCTCAAGTTAGGAACTCAACTACAAGTTTTGAAATTGGAGAACTGTGGACTCTCAGGAAGACCAGTCATAATTTTGGGTAAGTCCTTTGACGTGTGAAAAATTTAAGTAAGACCTTTTGATGACATAAACACCTTTTATGTGCTATTCTACCACCTGTTGCAGCTTAAGACTAAGACGTCCACCACATTTTTATTTAATGTTATGTAAGTTTGACTCATCAGAGAATGCACTGATTTAAACATTTCTTTTTCTAGTATATTTGCAAAGCTTTTGTTTGCCAAATGTAGTTTTAATATTTGCCTTTGAAAACATTGTCACGGTTGTATATTATAGACTCATTAGTGATTTTATTTCAGCTGCAGCATTGAAACTAAATACCAGCCTAAAGGAGCTTTATTTAGCAGACAACAATTTAAATGTGTCTGATGCCGTTCTTCTGGGAGCTGTTCTCCAATCAAATCAAATATTGCAACTTCTGGATGTGAGGTAATTATTTCATGCTTTAAGTTTTATTTGTGGACAACTCTGAATTGAACGTGCAATTGTGATGCATTGTTGTCTTATCCCATTTTTGTAAAACTAAAAATAGTTATTAAGAAGTTGTATACATAGGGAGTCACATGTTTCCATCATTAGCCAAAGATATCTCATGGAGACATTTCTAGTCAATTGTTCACCATGCTGATACCTAACAGCAAGGAAGTTATGTACTGAGAAATGAATTATGTTCAACGCAAGTCAGAGGTGTCCCTCTTGTCATTTTCTTTGACCATTTCTGCAGATTGTATATTGATGCACATTATTAAATTACAAGAGTATTATCAAGGGAAATAAATGAGTATAAAGATTAATTGTTATGATTGTAGCCAAACTGAACTAAGAGGACCAGCAAAATCATGTTTTAATCACTGATCTCTTTTTTTTTTTCTTTCTGCAATTCAGGGACTAACACTAAGGAATTCAATAAAAATATCCTTTGTTTTGAAGAGAAAATTAAATGAAATCTGTTATTTCCTAGGAATTCTCTGAAAACTCCTCTTCCATTACTAATTATTATCAAAGACTGGTCGTCACACTAACATACTAATTTTAGAGCAGAAGCTATAAAAATTAAACTAATTTAAGAGCAGGATAACAAATCAATTTTAACAAATTCTCCATTATCTCCAAAATAATCATTTTTCTTTCCATAAAAGTGCATCAACTTCTGTCATCCCTTATTTACATCAATTCAGAATGATCCTGCTATTATCTCCTTTTCATAGGCTTGGAATTTATGTTGTTTGTTTTTAGTACATTTATGACCTATGACCTTTCATCTCAATGTACATGGCAGAGCTGCAACATACTTCTTGTATTTATAGTAACAGTTATGTAATAGAATATTGCAACTTCTATCTTGGTAATACTTCGCTTGTCGTTTTTAAACTTCTAACCAAAGAAAGTGTGAGAGGTTTGAAAAATGAAAATTCAAGAAATGTAAATTAAAATTACTCCCTGCAGTTGAATTCAGTGTGTTATGCTCTATTCTTATAAAAAGTTTAAAGAAAACATTATCTGGCTGCAATAAGAATTCTAGTTCTTGAGTCACAAATCCAAAAGGTTATCTAAATATCACGAATCAAGAAACAGAAAACCTCCATTTATTATACTGTTAGAGATTACATTAATATTGTGGGCATTCTAATATATTATAACTGGGAGTTACATAAAATTGTTTGGAAATATTATTTAGGGAAATGTATTGCAGAAATTTCTAGGTCCAATATTGAAGGTATAGAAATGGTTTGGAAAAAATTGTGAATTAGCAATTTTTCAAATTACAGATATGAAATGGGCTTCATTGTTCCATCTGGGCTTCATTGTTGCTTGCAGTTACCACATGATGGGGGCAGGACAGGATGTAGATGGGATGAAACTAATGCTGAGCAAGGAGACAACAGTGAGGGGGGGGGATTGCAGCGCAAAAATACCAAGTCGTGGCAGCGCGGAAGGAGTGGCAAACGACAGTGGGGCGTAATTCTGCTAAAAACATATAGATATCAATAGTGTGTGGGGGTTAGCATATAGGTAGTGTAACAGCGTATCAGACTGTTGTACCTAAGTTTGTGGGCTCAAACCTGATTGAAGCCATGGGTTTTTAAGGCCAAAAAATCCTTCAGAAGGGAATTAAAGCAGTCCCATGTTTCAAGATTTACTGCATGAAAAAGATCCTCAAGCCTAAGCTCATAAGCAAAATTCTCTTCACCTGTTTTGTCGCCCAACTGATACCTCTTGGTGATATCAGTCGGTGAAAGGAGCATAGTGAAATTTATGTGCTCAGGTGGGAAACCAGGCCTCCTGGCCTAGCCTCACCATTGAAAATAAGGCATGATTGAATTGAATTGATTCCAATAGTGTAGTCTCCAGGCCATAATGAGAGGTGGTTGAGGGCTCACTTGAAACTCTCGGGAACCGGTCAATCTATCCCCCCATTATACAACTCACTGGGGGGAGGGGGTAAAATGGGTAGATCAGTTGTCATAAGTTGCATTTTATTTCATTTTTTCACTGGTTGTTGATTTTGTTAGCCTTTTTTACATAAGTATGTGAATTACATTCAAGACAACTTTGACATGAGTCATCACACAAGCCAGCCTAGTTGAGTTGATATAAATGCCGAAGAGGATTGCTGTGATGGCAACTTGTCAGGACCACCAACTTCTGAAATAGAGATTTAGAGCCCCACCCATATTGAATTATTTGGCATCATCGTACCAAGAGACACTTAGAGCTGTGCTCATCCATTTCTCAGCTACTCTTGTCCGAACATTGTATTTCCCATGCTACTCATGAGAAAGCCACTGTTTTATTTGTAATAGTACTGACATTCTTAACCCGTGTGAAGAAAAGAGAGATACGAAGAGATCTAGATTTGTTGTAATGCATTCTTTGGGTTTAGTGATTCTAAACAATTATTGTTGTTCAGTTTGGCGAGTTGTGTTTATGTCAGGTAGCAAATTGAAAACATGAACTCTTGGTGAGAAAATAAGACCAACTGAAGAAAGTGAGGAAAAAAAAAACAATATTTCTGTCAAGGTTTTGATAAAGAAATATAAAGTTGGGAAAACCTAAGTGTATGAAAACTTAAAAACAAAGACAAAATCAAGAATTACTGATTAAAAGAAAAATTTATAGGTGGTGTCCACAATATTCACCAGCACCTAGGCAAATAGCTGAAGCCTATATCACCAGATAGATTCACCTGTTCGTACAAATATTGAAGAAAATAATATTTCTTTTGCTTTTTATGGAGTTCGTTTCATTAAACGTTGTGTTGTGTTTCTGTACGTTATTTTCTTTGCCTCTTCCAGGACATCTTTGTTTCTTTGCAGTGTAGTTTTTAGGCAAAATAAACTACTCATACAGCTTATTCCATTTTTGAATGATTGTTTTTTGAATTGACTATTTTTATTGCAAGCCTGAATAAACCAGAATGCCCAAGATCGAAGAAAATGTTGGACCCAAATAATTCCGGTTTAGACAGGTTTTACTGTAATTATGGTGCCCAAAATATTGAATAAACACATTTTTATAAATTACATAAGTGCTCTATTTAATAAACAAAACCAGAAACAATAGACGAAATCTATGTATGCCGTACTCAAGCCACTGAGCAAGGGTATGAGAGTAGATTAAGACTTCATATTATCATATAGACTTCATTCACTCTTCCTTGAGCTGACGACAACAGTAGTGAGCCTTCCAAGGTATGGATGATGTCAGATGTCATAAAGAGATTGTGCGGTTATTTTTACATTTAACTTGCATAATCTAGATTAAAATTGTAGAAAAACCTTTTTAAATTTTTTTGAAGTTAACTTTCGTTGTTAATTGCTGAGGTTCTACCAATTTGGAATCTACCAATCTACCCTTTTTTTTTAGCAACAACCAAATACAAGATGCTGGAGTTGGACATATTTTAGATGGATTGGTTGAACAAGCACCTCAAATCAGTGGAACCGTAAACAATGGTCTGTGCATTTTGATATTGTGGAATAATCACTTAACCCGAAACTCTGCTAAGCATTTGGCTCGTGCATTGGTGAGTTGAAGTACATCAATCAGGTTTCGTTAATCAATAAATAGCTCTAAAATAATCTTCTAAAACGGGAATATCTTATGACAAATGAATGACGTCTCATGATAAATGAAAGTTATCTATGTGATAAATGTAGAGTTTTATTTGTTTTCAGGCACGAAGTACTTCTCTTGAAATTTTAAATGTTGGTCACAATGTGTTAACAAATGAATGCCTTCATGTAATGAAAGATTCTTTACAACAAAATCGCACATTGTTGAGATTGGGAATGCAGTCTACTCATTTAACATGTGAAGGAGCTATTGCATTAGCAGAGTGCATTGCTGACAATCCTGTTATTCAGGTATGTTTAACCTGCAAAAACAGATTTAATAATGTGTCTGTTGTACTTTTAAACATTGTTTTGTTGTAGATTGTGCTCTCAATATATGATGAGAATATCATCACTGCAATTTCATGCTAAGTACAGGAATTTTATCATTAAACTTTAATTTGACCCTAATTTTATATTTGTTTCAGAGAATTGACTTACGTGACAATAATTTACAAGTTGCTGGACTAATGGCTTTATCATTGTCTATGAAAGTTAATAGGAGTGTGAATCAACTGGATTTAGATGACACACCAAAGAAAAAACTGGTATTGATATTATTACTTCTGCTGCATCAGATTTAACTTTTTTTTTTATTCTTTCAAATATTTTCTTTAATATGTTGTCTAAATACAAATACAGTATGTATTTTTCTCATTAAATTTATTACTTTTGCTATTTTTCTTCTTTATCACTAAATACTAGCAAATATTTTTCTCTCATCTTGATCTAATAAAAATTCTTCGCTGATATTTCTTGCATAATAACAATATTTTTATAAAAACAACCTGCCTTTTGATTTTACTAATAACTTCATGAAATTGATGTGGGTATATGTTATACAGGCCTGTTCTGGTCAATGGATGATTTGTATCTTCTAAAATTGTTAAGCTTCCCCAAAGATCTCATTGCTCATTGCAAAATGTATTCTTCCACCAGCCATATGTGCTGAAGAGCCAGCTGTTAAAGCCTCAAAGTGTCATTTCAGTGTGTGTAGTTGGACAAAGACACAAAGAGGGTCTTGTTGAATCTGACTTGCATACCTTAAATGGGAAATTTTGTACTACAGTTTATAAGACTAAAGCAAGGATGGAAATGCATTGTTCTAAAGGAGACATTTTGAAGACTAGAAATATTGTGCCTTAAATAGAGGTTTTATTTTATTAGGGTGACCCTTTTCTTCTGCTTCTTCATATGTTTCTTTCCATTTCTCCCTCTAACACACAGTGGAAAAATCCCAAATAATGAAAATAGAGGGGGCAGATTCATTTCATTTTTTAACAAAACCTTGCCAAAACTGGCTTGAAGTTCGAAAATTCTCTTAAAAAATGTGCTTTAAACATAATGTATCTATTATTCATTTATTAAGAGAATTCAAAAGAAAAGACAAACTGAGTGAAGTTAACATCTAGTTAATTAGTAAATAAGTGAATCTGAATCAATAAAATTAGGTTAAAAATAAAATTGTGTGTATCACAGGCGTTAACTGGTTCTAATGATCTTGAGCAACCAAAAGCCCTCAGGACGCTCATTCATTAGAACCCTTATAATGCCCTTGGTGCATAAATAACTATTAAAATATTGTTTTGAATTAAAACAGGGGTTTTCAAGCTTAGGTTAACAATAAGTTTCAAATATTTTTAAGTGTTAATGTATGCCTACTAAAGATAACACAAATGAGAAAGTGATATAACAGACTGGTTTGCTGGCTTGCCTGTTACAATTAATAAAATAGATCTTATATATTACAAATAACATTTAGTACGTTAGTTCAAAATAATTTCGTTGATGTAAATGTCAAAAGATGAAAAGTAAATCAAATCTAAAACAATTTTTAATAAATCATTGCAACACACTTATCTTACAACTGCCACTCCCCTGGGAGCCACAGGAACCCCTGAATTAGAAACGTTGTTTTGAGTAAAAAATGTGTCGAAGTATGAACTCATTTTTTGATTCAGTTTTAAAAATTTCAAGTCATTTGGCATGCTTTTTATTTTAAAAACTGCTAAAATAATTTTTTCCAACTTTCTGAATTATTTGGGATTGTCTCTTATCTCCATCTCCCTTCCTTACCATTCTGCGTAACCAACCTTCCCTCCATCTCTTTTCCCCTTCACTCCATAAACCTCTCTCTCCTGTTTTCTGTTTAAGTAAATATTTCGTTCTTGTTTGCCTTATTTATTGAATATTGTATTTTTTATTTCATATGGTTATTTATTTTGTTTCAGGAGAATGGTGAAGTGCTGAAGCAATATATCAGTCTAGTTTCAGAAATAAGAGGCTACTGCATTAGAAATGAACAAGCAGATTTTTCAGAGGATGAACCAAGTACCCCAGAGGACAGTGACAGTCTTTCAGAACGTACTTTACGTGTGCCGAGCTCAATGGCTTCCAGAAAAATTTCTCTAACTTGTGAAACTCTTATGCGATCTGTCGACCCAGAAAATTCCAATTCACAATTTTTAGAGCCTCGGCGTGTTACTGGGGGAAGATTGCGTAGCCCTGCCCCATCTCCTGTCCCTTCTCCTGTATCCAGCCCAATTCCTTCACCCTCTCGAACGCGCTTTCAGGTTTCTCGAGTTTCTGAGCCACAACCTGTGGGGTCTCCATCATCTTGTTCCTCATCTCCATTTACACCACCCTCAATATCCCCATCTCCAACTCGCTTCTTCGCAAGTCCAACTACATCCCGCTTTCGAGTGACGCTTGTCGAGCCAAGTAGTATCCCTGTGACTCAACCAATAGTATCTAGCCCATCTGGAAACAATGTAACTGTAGGCTTCACTTTTAAGTTAAATGACAAAAACATAAGTCCAAAGATTTCACCTGAAAGTAGCAACTCTGTTTCACCAACTGTAGCAAATGAACTCATTACTTCTTCCACAGCTGTGTCGAAATTGAGTGAGTCATTAGCTGCAGTGGATATCCGTGTGCAGAATGAAGAAGGTAAAGTGTGTTCTAACAAGCAGGGAGGTAGTGTCCTTATTAAAGAGTTGGAAGATACTCCAAATTCCCTTTCTACTAGTCTCTCTTCTTTGGATGAAAGTGCAGACTTGGAAGTGAGACAGATTTTAGACAGTCATGACCAGAAAGTATGTAACAGTAATAAAAATGTAGAAAATACTTCTGAACTTGAAAAAGAAAAAATGTTGGGTGAACAAACAACTGAACAAAATAAAGTGGTGAAATTGAGTGATGTAATTCAGGCTTCTACTAGTGAGAAGCCATGTGATAAAAATATTGCCACAATTTCTTCACAGAAAGAAATCTGTGATAAAAAAGTGGGTTTACATTCAGTTCATAAAGAGAATGTCATTCCATCATCAAGTGTTTCAGTTACAAAGTCGGAAAGAACACCTTGTGGGGGAAACCTAACTGAAGCATCAGAAAGTTCTAGCACTGTTGCTAAAAGTAGCAAATGTGTCAACCAACGCCAAAGGAAGATTTCATGGATTGCACCAGTCCATCCTCCGGCACCAGAGCAGAAGCCTCCTTCCAGTTTGGAGAAACTCTTAGGGTTGTTTCAGCACCCTGCAAGTTTCTTCAGCAAGGCCCAACCTCAGTACAAAGCAACAACAGTAATAGTAAACCAACAACCTGTTGCCAATAGTAATGCATCATTTCTCCTCACGGCTGGACCTTTAGCAGGAGCTGCATTGGAGGCTCGTTTACGTGGAGTAAATGTTCCTTCTCCAGATCCATTAGAAGATGATAAAGAACAACATCCAGCAGTAGACGTCTTGAACAATAACAATAGCGAAATAAGTGCACATAGTAGTAGTAGTAATAGCAGTAGTGATGGCAGCAGTAGTAGCAGTGAAGGAAGTGGAGGCAGCAGCAGCAGTGGTAGTAATAATAGTAGTAGTTGTAGTAGTGGTGGCAGCAGTAGCAATAGTAAGAGTTCTCAGTCTTTAAATGAAGGTACTCGAAGAATGTGTTCACAGTGTACTGTAGAACAGGAAAGTGTACGGATTAGAACAGAGGATGAAAATTTTAATGTTTCTAAACATTCATCAGGAAGTGACGTAAGTTCAGGGACAGTAGATAAATTGTGGTGTGCTACTTTGTCTTCTGTCTGTGGTGCAAATGTTGTTCTGCCCTGGGCTCAATCTTCCATACCGTCAGGTTCAAAATGCTGTGGTAATGATTCAGGAAATGTTGGAACATATTCAGATGCCACATCTCTCAGTGATGAACCATCTGTTTCTGCATTAAAGAAGGAGGCAGATAAAGAAAATAGTGCTTCTAGGTTGTATACAAATGTTATGAAAGGTGCCCCTGCAAATGGAATGAATGTGTCTTTAAATGCTTCTTCTTTGTGGTCACCTAACAGAGAAATAAAAGAAAATTCCACGTCCTTATTGCCTGTTACGGGAGTACGGTTAGTTGGAGGTGGAGATCCATGTCCAGATGGTGGTCGAACTGATAGTACTGCCGATGGAGGTGATCCATGTGCGCAGAAAGAAGAAGAAGGTGCAGATTCAACACAATTAATGATTGGTACGTAAACTTAGCGAATGACTTTCCGTCCATTTCATATCAATAGATATGAAGCATTTTATTTCTCTTTCTAGCTGGGAACATTGAGAAAGAAGAATCCAGTTCAGCTGATGTTTAAAGCAAGTTCTTGGATTTACATATGACGTAAGGTGATGAGTAAAGCTTTATGTGTAATGTAATTGTGTTTAGAACATTGTATATAAATGTATATTTTGGTTGGAAATGTTTGTGAGTGTGTCTGAGAATGCACAAAGTGTGTTATGATCCTCTTCTGAACCCTTACATGTGCATGTTAGTTGTTTATATTAATATATGAAATGAATTTATAAATGATGTATTAACTATTGAAAACAAGTGTATGAAAGGAAGATACACAATAATTCTTAAAGTTCCCGTCAATGTAGCATTTTGAGTTAAAAAAAGTTTTAGATCAAGTTTTCAACCTGTTCTGCATTGTTGGATGATTGCTAACACAGGAAAATATGTGGAAGAAAACTACATTATTTGTACTCAAAAGCCTGTGTTGCTTTGTTACAGAACCCAAATTGTGAATTTGGGGGGCAATAAAATAATTACTCAGTTATTTTAAAAAATCTGTAATGGAGGATCTGAATGCTTTTCTTGTGTAGTATGCTCAAGTTTGTATTGAGAAAAGTGTATACTTGTTAATATCATGCTGGCTTAGAATTTTGATTGTTTCTATTTAATGTACATTTTTGGTTCAGAACCATTCAGAACTTGTCTTGTTCCATAGTTGTCTGCATATCATGAACTTATATGTACCTTAGTAAAACCAGAATCCTTTCCTATTACACTTACGGAAGAAACTGGTTACCATCAGTTGTTTCATGTTATTAATAAAATTGTGTTATTACTGTATGATATGTTGCAAATCATGTATGTTGTATAGTTTGTAGGCTAGTATTCCTAATTATCTGTGATACATACACAAACAACTCAACTTTACTTAAATCGCATTGAATGCTATGAGCATATTAGGCCACAACAATGTTAGATTGTAGTTTCCTGAGTGTGTGTTGCCCAAGGGTTGTGAACTGATGAAGAAGCAATGCAATATTTTATTTCTTTTTGAGGACATCTGGTTCAGACGGCAGAGCCTTCAAGTAGCTGTTGCTCTAATAAGTTAATTAGGATTCTTCCCAATATGGTTATGGAAAGTTACTTGCTAAATAAAAATGTTTCACTTTACATAAAGCATATAACCTCATGTAGTTTAGAGTTGTTTATTTTTCATTACTGGTCTTCATTAGACTGGTGAAAACAACAAATGTACTAAGAGTACTTGCATTGGATGATTCATGAAGTGAATGTAATGTGGTAATGTAAATACCATAGATACTAAAAGTTTCTTGGCATAATATGCTAAAAATAAGATATTTTTATGTGGTCTTCTAAATAATCTATTATCATACAAGTTTTGTATTGTATGGTCTCTTTTGAAGAGTAATATTTATTTTTAATTAGATGTCCAGATGTATTTCCACAGGCTGCTGTATGTTTATATCTTTACAGTGTAGTATTCTATACTTGTACAATAGCTTTACCATTTTATACTAAACTATGCATGCTCTTTGCAGGTATTAATGATACTATTTTCATAGACATTACTTGGTGATAGTACATTTTTAGATGAATAATGGCCAATTCACATTTCAGCACATCTCAAAAAATGTAAGAGCAGGCTACAGAAAGAAGCTTGTAAATGAATTTCTGACGTAACGTTTTCTTGTTGACAAAGAAAATAGCTTATAGATGATTTGGTAACATGTTTGTTTTAAAATTTTGTTTGAGTATATGATTTGTGTAAATATTAGAACCAATGATTTTAATAATGTAGTTCTTGTTGATTGTGTTTTTCTGTGAAATTAGAAAAATTCTTTATTTATTCTCTACCCATCTCTCAGGGATAGTAATGTGTAATTAGGTTGTGTGAAGATTGCTGAAGTGTGCAGTCACTGTGTTGGTACACTCACGCAGTTGCTTTTTGTTCTGTGTAAGTATGTATAAAGAAACTTAGTGTCAAACTTTTAATGTATTTTGGCATGTAAATTTATTGCAAATATGTTTGGGTTGTATGTTTTCTTGAATTACAATTTCAGTATGTTTCTATGTATTTATTAGAATACTTCAATTTAGTCATGTGTTCCCCATTTTGTTTTATGTGACATCACAAAGTATTTATCCTACTTAAACATTTTATTTTATCAATTGCTTTTGTGTCTTGTGTTTTGAGGCATCTTAGATAGTTTTAATAATGTAACATGTTGAACAGTTTGAAAACACTATTTGCTCAAAAAATTTCTTTTCTCATAAACTGAAGTGTCTTTTCTTTCTGCAATTCTACATTTTTTCTTTTAAACTGAAAATCCACAACTACTGAGATGCTAACTGCTGCTTGCACGTACCTCAAGAAATTCAAATCACTGTAAAAATCAAGAACATGACCTACTTCATTTTACTGAATGATGGGTGGGTGTGTTTGTTATTTTCGTGCGCTCTTGTTAGAAGTAAGATGACTGTGTTGGCTAAAGCTGCAAATGTTTGTTCCCTGTGAGGTGCACCATTATGTTCAGTACAACTAGCACAATTATGAAGATGTATATGTGTATTTACATTCATATATTGGTGTGTTTTGTTGTGTGTGGGTGTGAGTGCACGTGTGCATGTGAATATGTAGAGTATATGCTTGTAAATTTACATATCCATTTATTATCGTATTGAGTACCTTATGTACAGCATGTTAACTTTACATGTATTTGGGCATTATAGTAAGTTCATGATCATGTTAAATTTTCACATAATGTGCAGTTGTAATCAAGTAAACTTGATGTGCACTCTGAAAGCAGATTTGTAGAGTTCTCGAAATTGAAGTAAGAGTTCCTGCAGGTATGAATCATACTTTTAAAATATCAAGGAAACAATGAACAACTTAAAAAAAAGGGGGAAAAAAAACTCATTAAGTTCATTCATATAGAAAGTCCTACATTCAAGCAGAGCTGGCTTCATGAAAATGAAGATGTAGGGCAACATGGAAAATATGGTTCTAGAGCTTTGGCACTATTCAAGATGGGAAATTCAGAATATTTTTTTATGCTTTTGAAATTCAGATAATTCAGTTGCAGAATAGCTCTTGAAGATTAGGTAAAAAAGATGGTAAACCCTCTAGGAATAATTCATTGAGTGAGTTTGAAGAATATTATAATGCCTTAAGAGTTCTATATAAAAGAAATGATGAAATCCCAAGAGAAATTATTGACCAGGAAATGAAGGGATTTTTTTTTAGCTACAATGAATATGCATTGTATTTAATATTTTGTTTCACATAGGGTTTTTATGGAAATGTTTTACCCAAAGTGAATGGCTTTTCATTTTTGAGTCGTTTTCTATTGGCTCTAGTACTTTATCCAACTGCTGCTGAAAATTCTGTTTTTTAATACTTTATAAAAACGATTAACATATATTTCCGAATTAAATTCATTTTTAATATTTGCAAAAACGTCATGGGTCTAGCTATCTAGTTAAGCTTTGGCTCTGGATTCAAGTAAGAGTTGTGTTTTAAAATTGGTTCACTTAATTAACTCAAACCCAGCATCGAATGCATAGCTACTAGAAAAGAGGAGGGAACATTGTAGGATTATCCCATGCCCATGAAATGCCACTTCACCCATTTAAATTTCTTTTTATTACTATATTTTAAAATATTGGTTGCTTAATTTTAAAATAAATCGCTAGAATTCTATAGTTTTGTTTACAATAAAAAAATTGAATTCCCCAATAAAAACTGTCTTACACAAATACAGTAATTGGACAAAAATCATGAAAAACACTAACAGAAATTCTCAATGGTTGGAGTCAAAAGTTTTCACATTGGCGTGAACCACAGTACATGCATGAAAACTATTATCGTGATCTACAAACAGCAACAATGCATCTCCTCCAGCAAGCAACTGGTGCAGAACAATGAAGAAAATAGTGAACTTAGAATATCTGTGTGTGAGTAATTATTGCAAACATTAGCATGGAGTGAGAGATTCTCACAACATACCAAATCCAAAGTTAATTTTTTAGACTGCTCATTAAGAATTCAAAGACACTGAAGACTTCTTATTAACTAAGAAAGTGCTTTTATATATCAAGTGTGAATTGATAATATTCATACTTTTAATAACACTGTTTTTATAAAATTATTTTTCTCTTTCCACATTAACTTGGTTTTTCGTAATGACATTTTTTAATCTTAAGTTTTTTTAGCACCACAATATTTTATATTGGTACAGCACAATAATTATTAAAATTTGTCTTTAATGAGAAATCTAAAGCTCCATTTCCTTAAAAGTAATATTCATCAATAGTGAGTTTACCATTGGTTTCTTTTATTCTGCTTATGTTTTACCCTTATTGATGGAACCCTTTACCCTTTGATGCAAGTTGTGTATTGCAAGAACTTTTTTTGGGGGGGACTCAAACTAAATGTGACTTTTCAATTCTTATTACATTTAAACAATAATATTCATGAACATGAAATACAACGCAGTAATTGCAAGAAAGACATAATTAATTAATTTATTAAATTGTCTATATAAGTTGATCAAGTGTCCTTTCAGCAGTGCATATTCAAGTTTATATGGTTATTACTAAACATGTTGCATAAATTGTTCATTGTTAATTAAAAAAGACTGCAAAAAGAAATACTGCTGAGTTTTCAATGAAGTGTTGGTAATACTGCTGAGTTTTGAATTAATGATGATTCTTTTGTGAAGAGGTTTTTAGGAAAGAAATTTCTACCTGTTTGAAGCAGCAAACAGATTAGTACATGGGGAAAATGTTTGTAGAGAAGCGTGTCAGGTTGTATTTGAGCAAGTACCTTTGTAATTCCTGCAAAGATAAAAGAAGTTTATTTCTGTAGGAATTAAGGCGATAAATGTGTTCATTTCCCTGTAAAACATGTTTTAGGTAATACATTTTTACTACTACTTGACAACATTGTTACACTTGAAACCATAAGAAATGCAAATGTCTCAAGTTATGGTCTTGTATGAAAGGAAACAACCTGGCAGACTCATAAACATGACTGTGTGCTTCCTTTTCCCAGAGACGTGTTGTTGTGTGGATTAGGCCTTGAGTGTATTGTACCTGGAACAGCTGAGGTGTTTTAGCCAAAGCAATGTTGGAAGCTGATACTTAAAAAATGCCATGAAGATGAATTTCTTGGCTTATTTAGACCAGTGTGGGTATAGAATCATAGAATGGGTGCTAAATATGAACAGTTAAAATTAAAACAGTTAACAATTAAAAGCAATTATGAAAACTCTACTCATGTGTATGTTTTATTGAGCTGTAGGTTCAAATAATTATTTATTTTTTAAATTAAAATTAATACTTTTTTCCTTGTATTAATGTAATATTTGGAAATAATATATTTATTATAAAGTGCATCTTCATGGCATATAACGTTCGTACAAATTATTTGCAGCCCTATTTTGTATCCTCTGTAACAACTTGTATTATCTATTCTGGAAAATGCAAGTGTTGGGAGAGAAATTCTCAGTGTTCTGAAATAGTGAACCTCACCATTTGAAAGTGTAAGTCTTATTTATTGACAAAAACATATTTTGTACATGTGCAGAATTGCTTACAATATAATGTTTTATTGTTATTTGACTACTTGTAAAGTTTATCACTGTTATTACATGTAATATTTTATGTGTGTATCTTTACAAACTCATATTCTACAGATATATACTTCTCTTTGTTTACTGTTTAACAGAATGTAAATATATACATATATATTTAAAGAGGCAATGAGATTTCTTGCATGCATCACTTCTTCCTTGAAGGAAATCAAAAGTTTCAACTTTGCAAAGTTGTGCTGTTTTTTAATAACCCTCATTTTCTGCATATCGTAAATTTTTCATCACAGTACTAATTTTAGGATATGGTTAGGGCATTGCCAGTAATGTAGTTGGATCCTCTCCTCAGGTGTCCAAAAACTTAATGAGAGTCCACAGGAAGACAAAAAATTAATCAAGTGTAAGCGAAAAACAAAACTGGTTTTGAACTTGCCACTAAGATTTAAACAACTTTACCAATCTAAGAGTTGTAATATTTAAAGATAACATGATATACTTTCAAATCTTACCATCAAGCTTGCAGGTTGAAAGGAATGAAAAGAATTGTTAGTTTCAGGTTAAAATTCCAATTTGGCAGTGATAGTTTTGTGCTGAGTAGAAAGTGGATTTCATTTATACTTACTACTTCATGAAGAGTGAGTTTGTTTCTAGATTTTTTAAACAAATGGTGGTTGAAAAGAAAAATGTAAATGATTGTCTAAAATTTCTGCATAATAATTAACTGCTTCTAAATTGATTTTCACTGGCAAGAAAGCACATAGTTCTGTGTCTCTAAGAGTATTGCTTTCTGAATTTATTTTCTCCCTGCCAATCGCTTTTAAAAAGTGTTAAGATATTTGATTGTGCCTCAAAACATTTAACCATCCAGACTTTCCAATTCTATTTATTCAGATAATGAGGAGTTCATTCTTTTATTATTGCACCTCAAAACATTTAACCATCCACGCTTTCCAATTTTATTTATTCTGATAATAACGAGTGCATTCTTTTACAATAAAGTGTTATCTTGATTATTCTTAGTATTTCTATCTATCTTTTATTGTAAACTATCTTTAATTGTTTTTCAATAATTTGTGTATTTATACACGTTATCTACTCAAAAGATCAATACTACATAAAGAACTTTGTTGACCAATACGAACTTGCAGGGACAGCATCACCCATTGGTGATTTTCCTTGAAACACTATATATTACACACGTATATTATTTAACTTGTAGTTAGTGTAAAATTTATCATACCTATCTTTTTTATTGTTTTAATCAAAAAATGATGTTCTATGTTCTGGTGGATGTTGAATTGATTTCACCACCTTAGTTTTTGAGTAATGACACTGTAAAGTTTGTCGTTTTAACACTGGCTCTTATGGTGCCCTGCCATAGCTGACCTGAAATTTTAAATTTGTGAGAAAACTAACTTTTGAAAATGTTTTTAAAAACTCTTCCTTTTGTATTTTTTAATAGCTAGCATTTTCCAAAGGGAGAACTTCTGGGCACAATTAGAAGATCACTCTTGGAAAACATTGCCTTTGATTTTAACCAGATATTCTGCAAAGCTCAAATTTGATGGATATAATGGTTTGTGTGATCTGAATGAAAAACTCAATTCAATTAATATTTTAAATGAATCACTTACACTACACTATATGAGCAAAAGGGTAATCTCGAGAGTTTATACATTGATTAGAGCTTTATAATTTTAGTACAGTATCGAATGTGTTGAAGTGATGAAATACTTTTTTGGTGGTGTTCAATCCTACACAGAATAGGTAAATACAGAGCTGGATTTCCATCCTATAATAGCAAATTAAGACAAGACTCCCATCCTGGTGCTGAGATTTTTTTTAAAAGTGTTCTTAAAAATTTAATAAAATGTTTTATCTGAAAACTAATCAAATAGATTACTGCAAAGCTTGAATTTGAGAATAAATTGATTGGAACAATAAGAAAGAACATAAATTTGTTAATTTAGAGATTTGTTACTTACTGAGAAATTAAAAATGTAATTTCCACTTTCTTAGCAATTTGTTAATTGACATTCGTATTTTTAAACAAGAATTTATTCTAATTAATTTCTTAGTTTATCAAAGATTTTTTTGGAAGTGACCAATACAGTTCTGTGCTTGGCCCACATTATCTAAAACCAGTCATGGCCAAATGTAATTGAAATTGTAAGAGGAATTATAAATTCAGTCTGCGGTAGTATTGGTAGTTTAATAGGAAACCCTTTTCTCCATAGCCTTGTATATTTTGTCAAACCAATTGCGCTCCTTGAACAGTAGTAGTGCATTTTAAATGGGTTGCAAGTCTTATTTACAAAACATTTAATCCTCTTCATTTTGAGTACAATATCAAGATGAACAATTACAAAAAACATATGATATAAAATTATACTAAAATCATTGCAACCAGCAAATAACTTCTGTGTTACTTAATACCACTGCAAGAAATTATATTGTATATTGCAATTGCAAAAATGGCCTCTAAAATTTAAATTATCAAAAGCTATTAAAACAAAATTAGATTCCTGTAGTTTGATGACTTAAGCAAAAATAAAAATGAATAACAAAAAAACTGTAAAAAGGATAATAAGCAGTCAGTGAGCAAGGCAATGAGCAGATAGTGAATCGAGAATTTACGTTGATTAGGATTTCTGTTAACTTACATTTTAAAGCTATATACAATGTTGGAGAGAACCAATCTACTGATCATGTTGTTAAGCATCAAATAATCTAAGATTTGTCCTACCATTGGCTCAGGTAATTTAACCCTTTGCGGTCGGTGTCGTTGGTAACTAAAACGTCCCACAGAGCAACTGTGAGATGATACGCCGAAGATGGCTTCCAGCTCGGAGGAGGCAGGTCCTTCAGGTCGGAAGACGTCTCAGATGACACCACCGATTCCCTGATCCAGTCGGGGGGCATCTCAGAGATGACAGATGTTTCCCGTAATTTTTCTAGACATGATCTGTATCAGTAATCTGCGCTTGGAGCCGTAAATAGATGAACTATCTTAAACAATGGCATCGCTATCTGATCAAAAAGATTTTATCTCAATCATTTTTGTTGTTTAGTGGGAGCGTACTTCTAGTGCTGTATTTCAGAGGTGCAGTGAGCCGGTAGTTGTTGCTAGCACATGAAAATGGACCGTTTGAGTGAAGAAGAGATACATAAAGTTTTTCAGGAGCTAGACGAAGCTGACAGTGACACTGATGATGATTTTTTTATGTAATGAAGCAGAGGCAAATTCTTCAGATGAACTGGACTCTGAAGCAGATTGGAGTGAGGACAGCAATGACATTGTACATGGAAATGATATGTGGACTGCTTGGAGTTATGGAGACCACAAGTTTGATGAAATTCAATTTCTTTTGAAATCAGGGTATCGGACACCAAGAGTTAATCAGCCTAAAACAACAGTAATTTTTTTCAACTATTTTTATCTGATGACGTGATCCAAAGCGTTGTAAATTAAACCAACGGGTACGGAGACGACAAAGTAAAGAGAAATATGATTTTACAAAACGCAGTATATGGTCTAATAACTCAGCAGTGAAGCGCTCTTCTTCTAATTTAGATTATTTATTGGACATCACCAGACTCAACGACAAATTTCATGCAATTTACTGTAAAAAAGAGAAATAGAATCTGCAGCGACAGAAAAGGCGGAAGGAAAACAATCAATTTTTACTGCCAGACTTATCCTGGCAATCCGGCCCTCCACCCTTAAGAATGTTTTGAACTATTCCACCCGAAAAAAGTTCAAAGCTAATTAAAATGCATATATATTTTCTGTACGTATTATAATTTGTGCTAAACATAAAATAATTCTTATTTTCTCATTGTATCGAGTTGTTTATTCCATATACGTTACAAGTCAATAAATTTAAAAGCAAATATAGGTGTATATTTTTCGTAATTTTCCATGCTTATAAGAAGATTCTGTCGTTTTTAGAAACAAATATTTAATTAACGGTGAGACTATTACTAAGCCAATTACGAACGAATACACGATTGTTTACAACAAAATGCCAATAAAATGAAGTGCTACGCGTCTCCTTCCAGACCGCGAAACAATAGCCGAGCTGACGGAGGTGCGCAGCGCGCCAATCCTCCGAGGCAGTACGCCATCTCCGACCTCTTGGACCAGACACCGCTCTAAGGTGCCCGTGTGGAGAGAACACTCCATGATGTCATCTCAGAGATGCCTTCCGATAGAAGAGAGAATAGAGAGAAACGAGCATTGAAAAATATTTGAAAACGTGTTCTGTCACTGTTCTGCATTGGAGGGAATTTGTCTTCTCTCAAATTCCGCATTAGGAACAAATCTACCGCCAATTAGTTCAGTGATATTTACCGCGTCTACTAGGCAACATTCAAAGTGATTCAAAACAACGAAACTATGAAGAAGCATGAGCACTGAGCAGGTATGCAATATTAAGGAGTACGGCGTTGCCCAATTTATCAAAGACTTTTCACCCCACTCAGACGATATTTTAGCCACTTTTGGCGAGCAGTGCACAAAAATATATAGATATGTCTATAATGTTATTTTTATAATTTTGCTCGTGCGATTTGTATAATAGTGCTTTTTATATTCAATCTTATCCCTCATTTTTTTATTCCTTGGCTATGCGATCTGTTGGTACTATTTAAGAAACTAGTCAATAGTAGGTCTTTAAGTGGTATTGAAATATTTGTATCTATGAAACAAAATCCATTTGATAGTTAAATAAAATTCAAAAAGAGTCTTTATTTTGTTTATGTAGGTTTCACAATACCTACTTGTATCGCAAATAAATATTTTTGAATGTAATATGCACTGTCTACTGGGGAATATCTCGCTCTAACCACAAAACGGTTGAAGTTAGTACATATTTATTTTGTCACCATGTATGCCAATCTCCAGCAAAGAAAAAGCCCCTTGCTGCAATACTTCTATTACATGGGGGATAATTGGGGGTTAGTTGGGGTTGGGGTTGGCCCCTACCTCCTTTAACTTAAATTCCTACCAAAAGTTCCTAAGCCAATGTAGTATGGCGGGGTCATATCTTACGTGAAACATAACGAAGTGTCAATCAATATTGACTTGAAAACTTTCATAAACTACCCAAAGCCTTACAGGGAATGATTCTTTGGTCATCAGCAAGTACAAACACTATTTTTTTTTCAAATTCGTATTTTTCGATTTTCTGAATATTGTGCTTTGTAAAATATGTAATTCTATTTCTATGAGACTCAAAAACAGATATCGCTTTTTATAGGAAAATGACCATTCGAAACATCACATACCGAAACAATTGATTTATTGAGTGATAAATATCGTTAGTTACCGATTTGTTGATGGGCCGTTATTAATCTCTCCAGACATTACAAATATGGCTGTCAAACTCTAGAGCCAAAAATAAAGATGTCTCTCCTCAGACAAAAGGTTTTCTGATTTTTCTTTCTGCAAGGAAATTCCAGGAAAGTGTTAAGTAAACTGTAGCAAATAGGGTGCGTAACTTCTGGAATAGGATGATACGCATTGTAACTTTTCTTGACTAAAAAACGAAACTCATATACATTACCCACTGATAATAAAAATAAACAGCCCTTTTTAAACATCAATGATACTCAACATCTACTGAAACATTCGTCCTTTTAGAAACTATTTCATGTATGACTATAATTAAAGCTTCTAAAATGAGATCCCATGCAAATTCGTGTAGTAATACCTCTTACTTTGAATTTACCCTAAAACATCATATTCAGTTTCACTCAATTCTTCCAATAGAGTATTTACAAGATACATTACACCTGGTTTACCACCAAATTCAATAAACTTTCCCGTCCAAAATTTCTAATTCTGTTTGACAGAGTAACTCTTTGTCAAATAGAATTAGGAATGTTATTTGTTTCTTTTCATTCAATTAGAGAACAAAAACATTACATGTTATTAAAATTTAACCTTTGGTTTTACTTTCTCTTGGTTCACAGATCCAATTGCAACATATACGTTATAAGCCATTTCCCTTGTCAGCTCTCGTTACTAATTCTGGCGTCGTTTCAGTTTCTCCCTCATTACACCCAGGACAAAACAGCGATATTCAATATCCGTCGTCTTCGTGCGCTGGCTGCTGCGAAGGTCGCGCGCGCTCGCGCCGTAGCCAAATACTATAGATACAATACAGGACACTTCGCGATATATCGAGAAACACTGATGCCAGCTCCATCTAGTGGCAGAACCTGGTGAAAGCTCATACAGCCTAAGCTCAGTGCTCTGATGGTGTTTGTTTTCTGCTGGATTTCTTTTAATTTGATTGTCTTTTTGGTAAATTTCTGGAAAACTTATTTTCCAATGCTGTTCTTGACATCTTTCTAATGGCAGCAAAAATGTGTGAAGTTTTTGGCTGTTTTAATTATGAAATTCAAAAGAACTCGCGTTCGTTCTTCACGTAAAAATAGTTCATCCAATGTAGATAAAAGCATAAATTAAGAAACTCGCATTTTCTGACTAAGCAGTACGTGAATGCCACTCTTTTCTGCCCAAATGAATTAGCTATTAGTTTTCTAAGACTTGTTTCCATCGGTTGCGTGGAAGAACGGGGAAGTGTCCTGTTTTGTCTCTATAGTATTTGACGCAGCTGCTGTGCACTGCAAGGCCGGCCGCCGCCGCGAATCCTCCCGCGTCGCTTTCGGCACGATCCTGCACGGCCTCCCGTCCTCGACCTCGTCCAGCTGTCTTCGTACCACGTCCTCTCCCGGTCTTCTCCCGCTTCGCCTCGTCCGTCGCTCCAACACTCTTTTTTAGCTATCTATCGTTTTGATTTGGGCTTTCGTTACATTTATAGATCACGCGCTCACAAATGAAATCGTTCACAAGCAGTTCCATCATCTTAATTAACTTATTCTATAAATTACTAGATCATATCTGCCAAACTTTCTAAATTTTTCGGTTTTCTAATAGTATAACGGAAATATTATTTTAAGAATATTGAAGAACAGTAAAACCTCGTCGTAAAGGGCAATTTTCTTTGAAAAATTTGGGCCGTTTTTATGAAAGTGGCGTTTAAGTGCTACAATAAATTCAAAATTTGAAACTTTTTCACAGAAATGTTTATACAGAAACTATATTTGAGGTCATTTAACGCACATTAACTCACAAATACAACAGTACTTAAATATTGATGCAAATGTGAATACTAGCGGCGTGAGAGTTCTTCCAAAAAATTACAATTGTATAATTTTAGAAAAACAAAAACAAAAAATGCACAAAAAATAACTTAACGTCATATTAAATAGTGCAATAAGCAGTTCGAAAGTTACGAAAAGTTTGAAAAATCGATTGATGGAAAACGTCCGTCTGTGGTTCCCGGTAGCAACTAAACCGTTCAGCTGATTTCCTTCAAAACTGATATTCCCTGATTGATCTTATCGGACTGGAGGCTTTGGGAGTCTCTAGCAGATATGTTGACTGTTAAAGTTTTTTTGACATGAATCGGGCATTTACCTTTTTACTTTCCCGTATTTGTACGTATATACGGAGTAATATACGTAGTTATGTAATGCTGCGGAAAATCGATTTCGAGATTTCCATGGAAATACAAAGCAAACAAAATAAAGAGCGCCATTACTTTTTTGGTTATGTATCGTGTGTGCGATCTGTGTCTACTGTTGTGGGCCCTCATTGCGACTTGTTTCTTGCTACTTCTGCCGCTGTTGGGATCTGATGCAAGAACGACCACGTGTCCATTATAAGTGAGAATCGCTCAACCCCCCACCCTCTGTCAAGTAGACAGAAATATTCAGATAATATGACTGAGGATGGCTGACTAGATTAAAGGAGGATTTTTCCACAGCTCCGTTCGACGCCAGTTAAGGGCTTATAGAACGTTGTTACGAAACTAATGGCGCTACGACAGCACGCACTTTCTCGCATTATTGGAAACAGTTACGCAATATTGAAATATTGCAATTTCAGCGTTAAAACACCTCAGCTATTTCTTCAAAACGGCTAATTCAACCAACTGATACAAAGCGCCTGAGCTGCAAATCTGTATTCAGAAGTACCTAGTTGTTATTTCTTACTTTTACAAATGAAACAAACCGGGGAAAAAATAACTGTTATAGTACTTGAAGCACATCATACAGAAAGCAAGAATAATTTCACACAAGTTTGATTAATCAAAGTAATTTTCCAATTTTTACTTTCTCGTATATGTACGTATATATGGAGTAATATTTGAATATCAAATTCAGCGATCAAAAGCTTCTCACCAACCCTTCCTTAAAATACCTTATAAATCTCATATTTAATTCGAAAACTATTTTCATTTATTACGAAGTGAGAAATAATTTCATCAGGAGCTAGAAAAGTTTCCTTAACATTCCGTTGGTAAAATAATATTTCCAATGACAGCTTATGAATTTCATTGCAAAGAAACACGCAATTTTTGCAGTTTTGAAAAAGTACGAAGAGTTGCCGAAAATGTGACTAGCCCTGATAGACCGATATTTTTTACTGCACTTGAGGAGAAAATTAAATAAAAAAGTTAAACGCCATTTTCGAGAAAATATTTTTTTTATAAATTGCGTAGATTTCAGACATAAATAACAATACATACTCGTTTTCAAATAAATTACACATTTTTTAAAGAGCTTAATTTTTAGAACAGACTTTGTTTCAGGAAAAAATTGCTATCTTCAATTTTGTACGCAATATTTCGCGAAAACTACTTACAATTTCAAAAAAATGTACATGACCTTAATGAAAGATCTAGTTATATCCTGCAATTTATGCAATTCTACCCCTGGCAGGTATCAGCTATTAACAGTTTCATCCAATTGAAAGCTTGATCATCACCATAGTGATAGTGACCACTACGGTGACGTTCGAGCTCCCGATTGTATGAAACTGTCAACTGATACCTGCCAGGGGCGGAGTTGCGAAAACACAGAAAAAACAACACATTTCATTTGAAAGAAAAAGCTGAATCTTCAATTGTCTGTCTGAAGACGCCGAAAGAAATTAACTCTTCTGCAATTTGCGAAAATTCAGCGTTAACAGAGAAAATCGGACCTTTGTCACCTTTAAAGTGCACTTAACTCTATTTTTACAAGAAATTTAAAGAAAAAATTTGGAGTCATTTTTGTGTCAACTTATGTGTTTGCTGGTAACCAACTCACACCCGTTTTCACCACGAAGATACGTGGCAATTAATTAGCAATAAATCATATGACGGTTTCCGTCAACCTACGATTCGAATTTAACGTATGTGTGCGCTGGCGTCACGGCAAGCCAGCTCACACCCGTTTTCACATCGAAAAAATGGTAATTAATTCCAATTTGTGGCAATCAATTCCAATTTGTAACAATTAATTAGCTATAAATCTAATAATATAGCTATTTTGACAAAAATAATTTGCACGAGTAATAGGGATGGTCATGATGGAAAGAAGTGGTAGGGGTTTATATACTTTATATTTGATCGGTTGCATTCTTTGAATTAAGTGTAGTCCGTGTAGGTAATACATTTATTGTAATTTCAAAGCGGAATCGCACTTTCACTATACAACAAATCTACACTTCTACACATATCCAATTCATAAGAAAAATATTCTTAAAAGTTATTAATCATCAAAGGAACAGAGACACCATGGAACATTTCTTTCAAGGCACGGTGAAATATATCTCACTATTGTTATACTATTATTAGCGTACCCGTGCGAGAATGCGCGCATATTAATCCCCACCCTTGCCCTACCCTTTCATTAAGAAACGTGATATCACAAAGACGGCCCCCGTCACCAAGGGTTGAAATATAGGTGGCTTTGGTAGTACCGATTAGTAATACCGAACCAGCAACACTTCAATAGAATGTCCTATCGTATCGTAGATTACGGCGTGACAAACATTTCATTGAGGCCTTAGGTCTCAAAATTTTACTTTTTAAGCCCCAAAACGCTTCGTTTAGAAGTTATTTAAATATTTAGCTGACTGAATGCTGCGGGTTGCATATGACATGAATATTTAGATGCGTTTTTTAAATAAATACATCATATTTTTAAACAAAAGTGCAATTCGTCAGGTCTCTGTGAAGTTCTATTTTTTAGAGCCCTCATTTGTAAAAATTGGTTGCATGTGAGAGCCACAGAAGGTATGTATACTACTAAAATAACGATTCTTACTATTGTTATACGTGTTTCATAATGACACTAAAAAAGAATACTAGAACTTATTCTATGGCGGCACTATATATTAACTCATAAACTTCCCATAACTCCTATAAACACCCATAAACTTCCCATAACTCCAATAAACACCCATAAACTTCCGATAAACCGTGTGGTGTAGAGAGTTGGCGACATTTGTCAAGATTTATTTCGATTCATTTGGTATCACTGCTCTTGCCATGCACCTGGTGTATGTTCGAGGTTTCGCGCTATTTCTGAAGGATTGTGAAGTTTCTTCACCGAAGAAATACTTATATAGAGATACCAAGAAAATGGTAGATGTGGTGTTCGAAGATGAATTTGTTTCAAACTCAAAATTATGTAATGTGAGTTATTAAGATGGCAAATCAGAGTATGCAGTCTAGCCGCTCTATTAAAAAACTCGACCCTGACGTTGTAAGCAGAATTGCTGCCGGCGAAGTTGTGTTAAGGCCCGCAAACGCCTTGAAGGAATTGATTGAAAACAGGTACTCCTAGTTTGACTCCTAAATGATTCAGTTAATTTCTTCGTAGAGTACATATTGCTGGGTGATGTTTAATAATGTGACAAGCACACAATTTACGTTCAAAGAAATGGAAGAAGCGCATACTCTACATTCCTCCTCATTCCTCTTTCATTACTATCAGTATCTTATTACATTCACATCACAGTTTTACTGATAGATTGCAGGTCAAAGTAGATAACATTTAATAGGCCTCGCTTTGGTACTAATGGTTTCATTTACTCCAACTGTGACAGCCTTTTAAAGAAGTCGGCAATACAATTGTAAATCATGTTATAAATTCATATAATAGTAATATTGAAATATTAAATTAGGTGTAATTAACATTGAGGTTCATTTAACTTTTTTTAAAAATTATTTGCTTGTTTCAGTGGAGTTCCCAAGACAGTTTATACATAATTTGAATTTTATATACATGATACTTATTTTATGTGGATCTATTTACCTCAGAAATAATTTGGTAGTTTTGGGCTTTGAATAAGATGTTGCTCATATATTTCATCAATATTACTTGTTGAATATCACACATATAGTATACAAAAGTGAATGAAACACTGGACAATGTTCAGGATAAAATTACTCTGAACAAATGTCACAATAAATAATAATAATAATTATTATTATTATTATTTAGGCAAATTGTTGCAAGACAGTATGAATTAATAATCATATTTAATTGTATACATTTTCCAAATTAAAACAAATTCATTCCGACAGATTGTGATAAATATAAGTAATGATACACATTTCAACTTCATATTGGAGCTCTTATCAGCATGAGAGTGGATATGTGATTACCAAAATACTAAGATACTCAGATGAACATATCCACATTAGTCAATAAACGAAGTAGAAAATCATACCTGATCCACTCTCATGTCAATCAAGATTTACTATTTGTGTCTGCTTTATTGTCTTGTGTTGACTTATGTAACTTACTGTATTTTTGTTATTACAGATGCGCACATATGTATATTTATGGAAAGAACTTCCATAAATGGTTGAAACTTATAATAATTTGCATGAGCCTCTATAATCATGGGGGAGGGGGAAGAAGAGAAATAATATAATTTTGTTATAAAGATCAGGCAATTATAAAAAAGTTAATACAAGCAATTAAAAAAAATACATTTTAGGATATTTAAATTCAATAAATTAATAAATAACTAAAAATTAATACCTTTTCTAATTCTGAAAGTTATCATTGATATGAAGTTGACTAAAAATAGGACTTTTATTTTCTTAAAATGATAATTATAATTGAAACTAGTTTCTAATCTATCACAAGTTTCCTAAGATTTTCTGGAACTATTTTAATTTCATTCCTATATTCTTCGTCCTTTTCTAAAGTAAACCTCAGTATACTCAAAAAGCATAATCCCTTGAGTCATTCTCCGCCATTGTTGATCTTAATTGGGTATTTACATGATCAAAGATGGTGAATGTCCACTCTACACTAAGAGGAGTGCAGGAAAAAACAAGAACAACATTGCCTTAGAATTAATTTTTAGAAGAGTTAATTTAAATAAAACTTGTATAGAGTTCTTTATAGTGTATTATATATGAAAGAATATAATTTCGAAGATATATTCACCCCCTGCCCTTCCTGGCAGTGCACTTGATTTGTGTTTGTTTTACATAGTTTATTTTATAATGTTCAATATTATAGTAGGTTGTACTTTAATATTCGTTACTAATATAATATGCAGTAAAAATTAATCACTACATAATACAATTTTTTTTTGCAGTTAGTAATGTTTTTGTTACTATTGACACAAAAAGAAATAAAACAGTGTTATTGCCACAATTTTCAGTGTTTGTAATGAGGAAAATTATTTATATATATTTTTTAATATCAAATCATTTCTGAATGAAACAAATACATCAGTGTAGTAGTAAACCATTGCTTATAATTTTTTAATGTATTGTAAATGTATCATAATGGAACTATTACGCAGATGATACAAAAATGGTTGCAAACCTATTAACTGATTATCAAACTTACAGAAGAACTTGATCACAATGGAAAACTGGTCAAAGGTGTGGCTTCTTTCGCTGAATTCTAAAAGAATGCAAAATCCTCCATATTGGTAAGAAAAATTCTAGACTACCTTTCCCTATTGCAGATCACACCTTGGATATCACAGTACCACAAAACAATTTGGCCATACTAATTTCTCATGATCTGAAATTGGAATGACAAGTTGCAGCAGTGGCCAGGCGAGCAAACAGTGCTCTGTATATGATGAAAAAGGCATTCTCCAAATTACACAGCCCCACAGTTGGAAAAATTTACACGATCTATGTTCGACCCATATTGGAGTACAAAAATGAGTAACTAAGATACCAAGAGAAAATCGCCTAGATTCCAATTACCAGGAAAGATGTTCTTATAGTCATTTGAACAGAGAAGAACTAGAACCGATCTCGTAGAAACATAACATTTTGAATGGACTATACAAAATCCCACAACAAGAATCCCTCTTTACAAAATCCACTGTTGATAGACTACGGGGACACAAGATGAAATCGAGGAAAGAGAAAACAAAGACTGGACAAAGAGCACATTTTATCACCAATAGAATAGTCAACACGTGGAATAAACTACCAGCGGAATGNGTGGAAAAGGAAACTCTTAAGTTCGTGTAAAAATAACTTGGACAAAATTGAGTTATAAATAGTATATAAATAAAATAGTGTATAAATAGTGGTAAATGATATTCTGATGTGATATAAGAAATATTTGCGATAAATTATTATGTTATATTTGATAAGATATGTAAATGAGCCATCGATTATGATTATAATGATATGTGAACTTAGTATTGTTCAAAATAGATACACTGAATTATGCAATACAATTAGATATGTGTATAACAGTTTGTTGTTATTCAATAAATAAATAAAAATGTTACTGAAATATTAAAATTGTAAATTTTTCAGTCATTATAGTGTATCAAGAAATACAGATGAAGCTTTGAATTAATGTGACTATAATGGTGGATTATTACATTATTCTAGTTAGTGAATGTATTAAACCATTCATTTGAAACATTTGTATTGACAAAAATTTCATAATTTCACTGCATTATGTAATATAATTGTTCATTTCAGTCTAGATGCTGGAGCCACCTCAATTAAAGTGGAAGTTAAAGATGGAGGAATGAAGTACCTCCAAATTGTGGATAATGGTTGTGGTATTAGGAAAGAAGATTTAGATCTAGTTTGTGAAAGGCATGCCACTAGTAAGCTTGAGAGCCTTGATGATTTGCAGTCAGTGAGCACTTACGGTTTTAGAGGTGAAGCTTTATCCAGCATCAGCCTTATATCCAATGTCTCAATAGTAACTAAGACAGCAGAGGAGAGATGTGGATATAAGTACGTTTTCCTTTATATTTATTATAAAATACACATGAACAGTTTATTTCAGAAAGTGGTCTAAGTCACTTTTATATAGTTTTGAGAATTACACAAAACTGTATAAAAAGTTAATCTGTTGAATATATGTTCTTTTCATGTATTCGTAACCTAAAATGCACTGTATTACTTTACTATTTAAGAAATTACATACTGGGCATTTGCTTTTTCTATTAAATGCGTTTGAAAACTGCTAACATAGTTCACTTTTAACAAAAAATGAAGGAATTGGCAGTTCATCATTTATCAAATTTTTAAAACTTTTAATCATTATTTGAGATATTTTTCCACACCAATCTGTGCATCTACATTAGGAAGTCATGAATTTGCCGATAACTCACTTCTCATAAAAAAGACACTTGGTCTCTTTCTGAACTGAACTGTTTAATATCTAAAAAGTTACTAGCTACATCATGTAGTTATCAAAATTTCATTTTAACCAGTTTAAAAAATGCTACATTTTAAACTATATTAATTACTAGCTGAAGTAGCCTGGCATTGACCAGCAATGGTCGCTCAGGGCGCCATCTGATGTTACTGCAGTGCCTTTGACCAGGAGGTCCTAGAGTTCCCATGATCTCAGAATTTTCGACACTAGCTATGCAGCTAGTTCGAATTCAGCTTCCTTTTGGAGGAGAATTCTAGTGACTGGCTGCTCTGATCGGTAGTTCTCCATTGTTTCTCTGATCAACACCAGGTGAATACAGGAGCAGTATCCTAACAAACAGGCCGCAGACCTTGCAAGATCTTTCCTTCCTCTTCTTTCTCCTTTCCTCACCCCTTACTGACATACATTTGTACTACACTACCACATATATCGGCAGACCAGTTGTAAGCATTGAGCTTGTCCCAACTGTAATGATGCCATGCTAGCAGGAGATTCCTGATTGGGAAAATACGAAATCCATGCAAGTTGATGTAGGTGGGCGGCATCCATCAGGGGATGCTACCCCCTTACAAATTATTTGTTAAACACAGTTTTTTGTAATTATACATTTAATTTAAGAATTCCTCTAGGGTATTTGTTGATTTATTTAGGGAAGAAAACAACTTATCATATTTAGTCTGTTCAATGGTATCATCATTTTGTGTTTTTGCCGGATTCTTGTATTATTTGTTTTAAAATCTCTCTAGTGAAATATAATCTCTTAGCGTATTCCAAAAATATATTATTTATTCCTTGTAGGTCATTAGAATTTAATCTTCTTTAGTATATGTTGTTTCATTTTGGTATTGTAGATGTATGTCATAGAAAACAACCTTGAAGTCTGAGCAGGCCTTTCGAGATGAAACGGAAGCATCCCCAACCCCATTCCCACTCCACACACAGCTTCCCTGTTATGCAGCAGTTACATGGCACCCCACAGTTGTCTCCCTATTTGAGTGGGAGCCGTCAGTCGCCTGCCCTCTCTTTAGATGTCCTGGGTTAAAAAATGTATCCTCTGCTGTTAAGATTTGAACTACTTTTGCCTATATTTCAGTCCATTATATTTGTTTTGATGTTGAGCATCTTTTTGTTTGACTTACAACATTCTGTATTGTTCTTTGTATTCTGGAAATGCTTTCTTACTTACCTTTGCCTTTTGTTTTAGATTGCATCTTTGTTCTCCAAAGCAATGCCTTTATTTTATGATTGTAATTATCCCCTGTGGCTCTAGGTCTTCATTTACTCTGGAAAATTTCATTGCTTTGAGCCTTTATAGATACCCAATATACCTCATGTTATAAGTTCACAAAAAATTAGAGAGAAAAGTAGACTGCAGGACTTAGTAATTGACTATTCAGATGGGTACATATGTCACTAAAACTCAAAAATTGGGAAGTTCTTTTGAATGTAGTAAGCAAGAGTAATGAGTCTTAATGTTATTATAAGAGCCTGGAAGTTCAGGCATTTATTTTATCTAAAATGGGCTGCCAATAATATATTTATTTTTACTAAAATAAGCATCTTAAAAAGGCATTTCTTGTGGCTCATGTAGGGGTGTAAAGCACAGGAAATGTTGAAAAATCATTATTTACAAGTCATAAAAGTTAAAAGATAAAATGATTAAAAAAGTCACAAATAAGGCAAAATGCCAAAAATAGGCATTCGTAGCTGAAATAGACTAAAAGAAGCTAAATGAAAATTACTAAAACAACTCCAGAAGTACAAATAAAGTGATAGCTATTGTCAAAAGTCATAAAATCTTAACAATAATTAAAAATCATTTTGCCAAACTTCCGTTTGTTATTGTTTTTAGAATGGGATCTCTTATAACATGTTTTTGGTATTAAAAATTTACTACTTTCAGCTAGACAATACCAGCAGTTTAATTAAAATGTTTCTAAACTATGTAGATATAATTATAGATTAAAAAAAGAATATCAGTAAAATTCTATATTAAGACAAAGGTTAAATTAAAAAAGACTCACACATACAATCTGATATTAATTGTATTATGTAGTTAAGCTTATTTCAACCAGTGGATTTCAGGAACTGTTCTCGTGAATCATATACTAATCAAATGCTAAAGGATCTAATGGGTAGGTTTCATAACATTTGTGATTGTTCCTACATTGACTACTCAGCAGGGAATCTCAGATGGTAGAATCATTGTATTTGATTCATTGTCTTTATACAAACTAAGTAAACGGGGTTGATTTCAATGTTAATAGCAATGAATGTTATTATATGATCAAAATTATCTAATTAATAACTACTTTTAATTTATGATTAGAGTTTCATACTGTGAGGGCAAAGTGAAAGACAAACCAATTCCCTGTGCTGCTAACCAAGGGACTGCAATCACTGTCGAAAATCTATTCTACAACGTGCCCCTTCGTCAAAAGGCCCTGAAGAATTTGTTTGAAGAACACAAGAGAGTACAGGATGTTGTTGGTCGGTATGCTGTACATAATGCTTCTGTGGGATTTTCTTTGAAGAAATATGGTCAGAATCACCTCTATATTAACTCAATGAATAATACTTCTACCAAAGATGTCATTGGCTTAATTTTTGACACAAATATAGCTAGGTATGTGTAATTTAAAATATTCTGGAAACATTATATTCCTCTTTTTGCGAAAAACTACATTCATGTATTATTTTGTTTTCTTTCGGGTAGAAATTTGCTAGAGAAAGAAGGATCTGATGACACATTGCAGTTCAAATACAAAATTTTGGCCACAAGCTTGATATATTCTGCTAAACAAATGATATTCCTTTTGTTTATTAATCATCGTCTTGTTAAATCCGAAGGTTAGTATGCATTGTCACTAGATTGTTGAAGTAAAATAATGGTTTGGGATTGCATCTTAATGCTAACTAGAACCCTCTGAAATATAAAATAATTTCTTTGCTGTAAACAAGATATCCTTGAAACTTCTTTTTCATTAATTCAATAAATGCCTTTAGGTCCCTTGTAGAACTTTATTTATTTCCTATTATGAAACATTCAATTATTGATTCGGTAGATTTTTTTCGAAATCAATTGTGGATACACTAAAGGTTCATTGCTTTCTCCATATATGTTAAACATTGATTTAGAATTTGTGAGTAATGATGAATCCAGAACTGTCTAGTATAATGATTGAGGTTTATAGTTGCCCCAATACACCAAACCTTTTCCTGTATTGGTAATGTGAAAATTGCATGATAAAAAAAATTGTAGTTTTTACTTCTCAATTATAGGTTTACAAAAAGAAATTGCAGAGCTATACAATATATATTTACCTCCAAAATCATATCCATTTGTATACATAAGTTTGGAAATGCCTTCTGCAAACGTCGATGTAAATGTCCATCCCAGAAAGGAAACTGTCTTTTATCTGCATGAAGAATATATTAATAAGAAAATTTTAACAGTAATTCAGCAATTGGTGTTAGGCAAAGATGCATACCAAACTTATAAACAAGAAACTTTGGTAAGTTTTCAACAACTGAAGTTTTAGCTCTCCTCCTTCATTCTTCTGTCACTCTCTCTCCTCCCTATCTCCTTCCTTATTTCTTCCCCTCCCTTTTCTCTCCATCTCTTTTTTATATATATTTTAAAATCATTAATGTATTATGTTGTAGGAGTAAAAAAATGGATATGAATAATGGGAAAGCAACCTAATTTATTTGAATTAGCATATTTGGAGGCATGAAAATGGGTATATTTCACCCTCTTGCATTTTTTTAATGCCAATTATTTTGCATTGAATTTTTTTAATTGTAATTTTTCTTCCAAGTTATAACAAAATTCAAACTTTCAAAATCTTGTTAATATTTACTAACAGCAACTTCAAAAATAATCTCTTTGCAAATAAAAGCTTGCTTCGTACTGGACTCTGGTGCCATACCAGACATTAGTATAAACACCCATGAAGAGGTAATTTTGGAAAAACTGAAATGGTATGATGTAAGAATCTAATATTGAAGAATAGATTGCATTAAAAAGAAATCTTTTGCTTAAAAATTTGTATAAATTGGTAAAGGGGAAGAAAAAAAAATGACAATATTTATTACTATTTGTGTGGACTTACCTCTATTTGAGTAAAATATTTAAAGAAAAATATATGGAGCCATTTTGAAAAAAATTGGAAAAGGTCCTAGAAGTGTCATGTAAAGTTAATTCAAAAATAAAAGATGTTTCAAATTCATAGGACCGTGAGGTCAGCAGATCTATTCGTGAATATTCATTTTGGGAAAAATCACATGAGCTTTAGCTGTTTGTGTTATTCACAGCCAGATGTGTGGATGGATGGCCAAGCAGACATGTTTTTGAAAATAGATATTGTGAAACATGATCTTCCAAATCTCAACATTGAATTTTTGCAGCATTACTACATTTGCAATATTTTACTTTCTTTGTACTCTGTACTTACAAATTTATGAAAAATTTAATAGGAAATATTTCCAAAGTCATGGTAGATTTTTACCCCTATACTTTGTTGTTTGTGACTTGTCCCCTTTCGCAACTGAACAGCAGATTTCTGAATGTGAATAACTCAAAGAAAATTTGGCTTTTAATCCTATGAATGTTAAGTTTTGTTATTTTTTTTATTTTTTTCCTTTTATGTCTATATTATTAACAATGGGACTTTAACGGTATTGTAAATTATTTGAAGTTTTAAGGAAACATAATTTTCACTGAAGAAGAATTATTTGGATATAATTTAATTTCAAGTTGAATTTTTGGCCTTCTGGTTTGACCCTTTTTGATCTATTACACCTATTTTGAGCTATATTTATTGAATGCAAATAATAATGATCAAATTATTTTATGTAGATTACCATATTATTTTTCACTCAGTCTGCCAATCCCCTCTTATTAAAATTGTCACATATTGTTTTTGTTGTATTTGTTTTTCTGCTTGGATTGAAAATTCTGTAATGGCTTTTAATCCACATTATTATTTTCAGTCATTCTCTCAAAGAGAACTTTCTCAGAAGGACACTTCTGACTTAACATCTTTAGAAGATAGATGTATTGTTGCTGGAGAGAAAACGAGTGTAGCAAACAATGAAACAGACCTTAACAAAGATCTTGCTCCCGCAGAGGAAACGGCTTTGATGGAAGTAACCCCAAAAGATCCTGAGAAAAGCATTTTTGATAAATCAATGAAGGGTGTCTCTTCACAATCTATGAGCTCAGAGCGCAAACAATCTTCTATCAAAAGGAAGGAAAAAAGTGCCCCAACATCACAAAGAAATTCTTTGAAAAAACAATTTGCTGTGGACCAGAGTCCCAAAGCAAATGATGAGAACCTACTACCACCTTCTGAAAACTCCATGAATAGTGAAATTGCTAATTTAATGTTCGATCAAGAAATCGACTTTGATAATGTAGAGATAATAGGGGATACTAATAACACCATTACAAATGATCATAGTTTATTAGGAAGTGTTAACGCCTGTAAAACAGAAGAAAGGTGAGATGATTTTTAGCTAAAATTCCATTAAGTACCATTAGTATTTTATAGTAGAACACTAGTATTGAAATGTTTTAAGGATTTTTTAAAATTATCTTGTATATAAAAGACACATTGGTTCATACTGAGACACAGAAAGACATGAAGAGAGACACCGAACCACCCTCGTGAGAAAGTCTTTCGTCTATTGAAATTTTTGCAGAGTGTAGCGTAAAACGTGATTGACAATCACGTGACCAGTAGAATGTGAAGAGTAATACATAGCAATAGCGACGCCTTGCCAATAAAGTAAACTGACAGTAAAATATCTACTTTATTTGCTAGTATTGACAAATCCAATTTCATCACAAGAAACAAAATCAATCGAGATAGCTCAGAGCCGGCATTACTGTTGTATTCGAAACAACTGATCAATGTTGTCAGGCGTATAAGGATCCTGGTGTTTTTACCAGGATTTTAATGACGTTACCATATACCAGGATGAACCGTCCTGGTAAGTTTAAGTACAAGGATTGTAAGTCTACAATAATTGTTGATGTACCATTTAAGATTTGTTTCATTTTTTAAATTTTTTATTCAGTAATGTAAATCTAACACAAGTATTGCAAGTAATTATATTGGTAAAAACACTGCCATTAAAATGTTAGGGTGACATGGGACGGTTTTTTTGTAGCACATGCTTAAATAAAAATGTTAGGGTGACATTGGACGGGTATTTTTTATAGCACATGCTTAAGTAAAAATATTATGGTGACAGGACGTTTTTTTTTTGTAGAATGTGCTTAAGTAGAAAAGAATAGATCATTATAGTCTTTCATGTAGTTTATAAATATAAAATGAATTGACATCAGATAAAGTTTAATGAACTCTCTGTGCACATGAAAACATATTAGTTGTAATACAAACAATTTCCGAATTTAAGTCAATTCACTTTGGTATCAGGAATTTTAGTGAAAGTACCAGGAAATATTTCCAAAGACGGGGTAGATTTTTACCCCTATATTTGTATGAGTACAGGACCAATGATCATTCCAGTTGATGTGCCAGGAAACATCTATCAGTCACACATACAAAGCCAATCCCAGTAGAAAACACACTTACAGTGAAATGCAAACTTGTTTTGTAACTTTGCTATATGTCGTGCATTTCTTACTTTATTACCCGAACATAATATTTACGAAAATTTATGTTATCTGTAATGATTATATGAGTTTAAATTCTTAAAAGGAAAGAGAGTTAACACTTGGATGAACCATATATATTTAATATACATTTTATTTGAAATAATAAAAATGTTTAAAAAATGGATGGGATTTGGGCTGGTGAAAATGTAGGCAAATCGGGCAAAGATATTACTGTGACTATTCTACTCATGAAATTAAAACCAATAGTGTTGAACTAAACATACAAAATGCCCCGAGGGTGGTATATCTCTAAAAGTTTATTGCCTTTACTATCTGCTTCTCCCTACTGGCCAGTCATAACTGTGACTCATCTCCATCTCAGGTTCTTGTAGGTTCTTCTTCCTCTTTTTCTTCTTTTCTTTTTCTTCTTATTCTCCTCCTTTTCCTTCTCCTCCTCCCCCTTCTTCTTCTTCTTCTCTTTCTCCTTCTCCTCCTCCTCCTCCTCCTTCTCCTCCTCCTCCTCCTCCTCCTCCCTTCTCTCCTTCTTCTCCTCTGTCTTCTCCTCCTCCTCCTTCTTCTTCTTCTCCTCCTTCTTCTTATCCTCCTCCTCCTCCTTCTTCTCCTCCTCCTCCTCCTCCTCCTCCTCCTCCTCCTTCTCCTTCTTCTTCTCCTCCTCCTCCTTCTTCTCCTCCTTCTTCTTCTTCTTCTTCTTCTTCTTCTTCTGCTTCTTCTTCTTACCTGAAGTATGATGTCAAATTCTTCAGTCATTGACATTAATGTCCTCTTAGATACCTCACGTGAAAATCTTAGCCCGGCAGTGCATGCAGGTGATCTGAGAGACCCGGGAAGTCTTCACTCTAAAATTGTGATCACAGTTTGTCTGCCCCCGACCACTGCCTCCAGGTTCCTTTTCTTTTCATTGATATGTCACACCTCTTCAGAGAAAGTAAGGAATTTTAAACCAATCTAGTGGCAAGACTATCCGAAATTTTGTACGGGCCTCAGAGACCACTTGCGTGCACTCTTGCAACAATCTTCGTTTAGTATGTTACGTGGATTAAAAAAATATTTGTGCCAAATACGCGAGATGTTTATTTGTTTGGAGCATTAACATTTTGTGCAATGAAGGAAAGTTGTCAAACACGTAAAATATATCAAATGCAATGAAAATAATATTCAACATATTATACCATTTTTTTCTGTGTTTTTTTTTTCATTTGCACTCAAACCACTTAATACTGAAATCAATTATTTAAAAATATATTTCATTATTGAAAATAATATCCATCTTCATCCTGGTACATTCCCTTGATTGAAATTATAAGGGGAAATTGAATTAAGGGAACTGCAATCAGAAGGGTCTGAGATCACGTGCGTGCACTAACGCTAAAGACAGAGGTGCGTGTACTGCCGGGTTAAGGGAAAATAAATGAATGCTAAAAATTAGTATTAGTATGAAATAAATTTAAAAAATAATATTCCTCAGTAAAACCTAAAAATGTTCACTAGTTGTCATCATCCTTTTATTTCAATATTTTCAACCTTGGGTTTCTTTCAAAACCTGATCTTGGTTCCGACTAGAGTGGCTCTAAAGGAGAATTGTGAAGGCAGACTTGAAAATTAACAGAATTAGAAGTGTTTTTTTTTTAATATTTAAGGCAATAATATATACTTAATTAAAAATTACAATGTTTTAAAAATATATTAAATCTATGTTATAAAAAATGTTTTTGTAACTATTATTTATTTCTGGAGAAGTAAAAGTTTTATAATGTAAAACCAAAAATTATCAAATCTGGTTTCACTATAATGTGAAATACAACTATAGGTCTTCATAATAAAAAGTTTAAAATTAGTAATCACATGTAATATTTTTGTTTTCATTTTATTTACATCAAAGTGATTTACTAAATGTTAGTAAAGAGGCAGGCATTGTCCTTTGGATGTAAATGATAGTAAACAGTATGCTCCTAACCTTCAATGTTTCAGTTCGGTGCTATCCATACCAAGTGTTGATGCTATGAAGAAAACCATTATCAATTCATGTGACAAATATCTTAAAAATTTATTAGAGGTTTCGACATTCGTTTCTTGTTCAAATTATGATGAAATATTAATTGCAAAAGAAGATAATTTGTATGAATGTTTGTTTAAAGATTTTTGGTTAGTACAAAGTTATTTATGATAGTTTTTATTAAAAGTGTTATGATAAATTAAAACATTAAACAATTTTTTTACAGTAAGGAATATTTCTACCAAGTAATTGTTAATGGTCTAGGAAATTTAGACATATTGATGTTTTCTGTAAGTAGATTCTTTCATTTAAATCGAGTCATAATATGAATCTCTGATCTTACGTTGTATGTGCATCATGTTTAACTGTTGAACTTGAAGACATTTCCTTTGCTCTTTCCTGATGTGACTGATATTTAATGTAGGAACCTGTACCATTAAGTGAACTTCTTCAAAATGCAGATTCAGATTGGACATGTAGTCTTGAAGCAGCTCAGATGCAATTAATGAAAAATGCAGAAATTCTGGATGAATTTTTCAATATTAAAATAGATGAAAATGGGAACTTGCTTAGCCTTCCATGGTTACTAGGTATGTACATTAATGGCTGAGCCAAATGGAACATTTGGGTTTGGTGCTAGTCTTAATATGCCATTTTAAATGATGTGTTTCTGATTTTTAACGGTAGTTTTGTACATTTGTGAAACACAGATGTCATGAACTTACCATTTTCTTTCTCATTAGTACATTTTTGTTATCATGTCCTTAAACCTTCTCCAATGCCGAGGTGGCATTATCACTTTTCATAGTGATAATAATGACCCAGTATATTTCTCTAATAACAAACAGACTGGCTTAGGTGGTCCTGGGGTTTGAGTCCCAACAGTAGCTTCCGTAGCTATTTTTGACATAGCTTACAAAGCTAGGTTGAATTCAGTCACTGTGTGGAGGATAATTCCAGTGGCTAACTGCTTCTGTCGGTAGTTGCCGAGGTTTGTAACCCTAATAACAAGCCATGGACCTTTCTTCTTCCTCTTCCTTACCCTATCCTCACCCTTTATGTATGAATTCTTACCCTAACATGTACTACACTACCACACATGCCGAGAGACAAGACGGGAGCCTATAGCTTGTCCAGTCTGGGCAGTGGTGGGAGATAACAGGGTAGATCCTTGCTGGTGGGAGTTTTGTGGTTGGGGAAAACCCCTGCAAGCCGATGGAAGGTAGGCATTGGATCTTGCCATCCAGTGGAGGAAGATCATTGCTACCTCCCATGATAAAACACGCACAACACATTAGGGACTAATGAATTTAGCAGTTGATGTATCCAGATTCACTAATCAATCAATCAATCAATCATTCAGCTGCAAATTTTCACTTTTTCCTCCTTTAAGATGATGGGTAGTGTGGCTATGAACTCCCTAGAATAAGCTCTAAGTAAATTGAATAAAATATATTTTATATTAATTGAAATTATGGATATTGTGTTACTTCTGTTTGATTTCTTATTTGTATATCTATTCACAGAAGGATATTTTCCACCAAAGAACCATTTGCCAGAATTCATTAAGCAACTTGCATGTGATGTGACATGGGATGAAGATAATAATTGTGTAGATGATATATGTCTACTAATAGCTTCATATCATAGCAAGTTTCCAACTGATGAAGTGAGTAATTTTAATGAAATTGCCGTGGGCATGTAGTAAATAAAAACTGTTCCCAATTGTGTTCAGTTAAGATTACTGTATGACTTCTGATACATTTCAGCCAAGTTAGGGTATGATGTGTTCATATCACTATATTTTGTTGTTGGTATCATAGAATCAACTGTCTTGTTTATGGTCAATCATAAATTAGGTTTCTATATTTCACAGTGAGTGTAGTAGTATTGTATACATTCATGTAAAATTATTTCTCTCTAAACAAATCAAATCTATGGACAGAGAAGATACAAAAGAGCTCTGGGCTTTGCATGCACGGATTTTAAGTGGTGGACTTCACCTGCAAGTACTCTACTACGATCATTGTCAAATTTATAGAGATTGACAATAGGTACTGTCCAGAGAATATCCAGTTATTATCCAGTAGGTACTGTCCAGAGCTTGCCTGTGTTGTTGTAGTGCATAAAAATGCATGCTATTTGCAGTGCAGCTCAGTTCATATTTTTTACTGTCTTGTGGTACTTAATATCTGATCAAAAGTGACACTTCATTGAGGGGAACTTGTAGTGTAGTCGTTAAGTCATTTGGCCTTGCGAAAGGTGAGATAGATTTTATTTTTTTAATATTATTATTAGGAAGAAAACCCTGAGTTTCCACTAAATACTTCAGGAAAAGTTTTGGTAGTCAAAAAATTTTTGGACATTTCTTGGTTTTTTCATAATAACTTTATAACAGTTGATCTTAGCACAAAAATAGTTATATTCTATTTTAAAGGTCATAAAATTTTCTACAAATTTGCTTCATTAATTATTTTTCTCAAACAAATAGTAACAGAACCACGAGATTTTAAAATTTTTACTAAATTTTCTTTTTTAATCTTCTCCTCCCCCTAAAATTTTTCTGTAACTATTAATTTTAACTTGTTACGAATCTTTCAGGCAAAAATATTTTCGGATAATCATTAAAACAAATAAAATCATATCCCAACAAGAGCTGAGTGTAGCCTGTGTCATTTTCCAAAATCTATAATAATACATTCGACTAAATCATTTTTAAATTCCCCTCTGTTCATCTGTGGATCCGCCCCTGCTAGTACATTAATCATGACACATACGTAAGGTACTGATGCAATTAATAAATATGATTGATTTTATTTTGAACTATTAAGAAGGTTGCCAGATGGCTTGGAGAGCCTCTTCTTCAAAAGTATAATGATTTCTTGTGTGGGTAAAAAGGAGAATTTTGTTATTACATTATAAAGAAATTCTTTCACTCACAAATTTGGTCATTTTAGAAAAATATTGATTGGAAGATAATAAGGTTAACTTAACTGGATACTTTTTTTTTTTCAGTGCCCTTTCTTTAGTCTTCGTGAATGGAATAATGTTGTCGAGTTCACAATTTTTCCAGCAGTTAAAAAAAATCTCTGGCCTTCAAAAGAATTATATTTAAAAAGCATTTGTGAAGTCCATGTTGAAATTCCAGTTTAACTCCTGGTGAGAGGTATGTGATGTACATCTGCTGACTTGGTAGCTTAGTGGTCAAAGTATAAACCAAGAGACCTGGGTTCATTTGCCAGTCAGAGTAACTATTTTTTTTAATAATTTAATACTGATTACATGGTAATTCTGCTAGAGAAATGATGTTATAACATGATGACACTGCTGAAAATAATAATTTATGTCAAATGAGTTCAAAATATCAGTAAATTTAAATTTATATTTTATATAAATGACCTAAAGGGAAAGTCTTTTTAAGTGATGAAGTTTTATTACGTGAGAAAAATTTACATTTCAACTAATTACTTTCACTCATTACAGGATGAATGCCTCGTTAAGAGTATGATTGTAGATGTTCTTCATCACAGAGACTATATAGAAGTATGTGTGTGCCTAGGTTGCCCAGTCTCTGGCCAAATAAGGAAATGCAGAGTATGCCTGAAAATCCTGATAGATTTTCAAGTAGGGACACCAAACAATTAATTCATCGTTGTCAAAATTTCTTCCCTTTTCAAACGTGTGAATTGGGAAGAATGCTTGTTTTTTAGGTTGTTTTTGAAGATTTGTTTACGAAAATATACTGGTATTGTGTGTTATGACAGAAGCATAAAAATTGAAATATTATTTTGTTGATTGTAATATACAATGTTAAATAAACTATTTGAAAATATTAAATTTGTTTGTGGAAGATGGGTGATTGTGAATGTCTCATGTTTTGCATTGTGCCGCATCACTTCGTCGAAGCAAAATGAAGTTTCATTCTGCGCATAGGCTTCTGTGGTGGGAGTCAGTCTTTACTTGACTGTTAGTGTGATGCCGTGTCCATGGTGAAGGTGCCGACGTTTCGGTCGCCATTCTGCGACCTTCCTCAGGGCGTAATGCAATCGCATTACATTTTAAATTCACAATATCTAATGTATGTGCTGACTTTTACACAATTTTTTTCAAGATTTGTATATTTCAGAGAGTTTAGTTTGGAGAGTAAAGTCACTCCATGGAGCTGTCTTTTTGTTTCTTTTGAGACAACCAGATTTTTATATATTATGGACCACCAACTGACTTAATCTACAACCATGACAGTTTCAGTAGGTGTTACTGTACCTGGAGATTTTCTTGAGTCATTCCCAATCATTTTGCAAACTTGCATAGGAGTATAAAATCTATCACATTTTCTCAAAGGTCTTTTTATTACACTAAAACTTCTATCACAGGGATTATATGAGTGCCCTTGTTGCTTGATAGATATAAACTTGCCAGTGTTCGTCTGCCATAAAGCAAAGCAAATTTTTGATAGTTAATGATTTTTGTTCTGTCTCCTCAATTATTGGAGAAGAGATGAAGTTCATCAATCTTGCCAGGAACATTGTTTTCTCTTTAATGAGGAAAAGTTGTAGTCATTTCATTGACTCTATTTTTGCTTGGTCTTCGTGGTATAGATAAGAATGGAAGTTTGGTTTTGGTATTATAAATGCAAAACACATAGTGTCAAATGATGCACATAAAAAGCCTGTTGATAGAAAAGTTTTAGCAATTCAACATTATGCATGGAAACTAAATTTAAAATAGTTTCATTATCTTCCGATAGTTTAGTTGATTGGTTGAAAGCAATGTGGACATTTATTGCTCTCCTACAATGTATACCATCAACTCTACAATAGCAGCTCTTAGCATACTCGTTCATATGTTGACTTTCAGTTTTGCGAGTCTTTCCTCAGAGTAGGAACGTGTGTCAATTTGAGGTATACTATATTCTAGTTTGAAATTTTCATTAAAATATTTTATGTAAAATTCATACTTTGTATTAGTTTCAGGATGTTTCTCTTTAAATGATACCGTCAACGCCTGCAAGGTTGGCCAACCATTGAGAGTCCTACCTGAGTCAATGACTGGGAAACCTTTTGCCTCTCAACAACAAAACTGTTCATGTCTATTTACTCATTTAGAAAACCGGACCAGAAGCCCATTTTTGCACTCGAATGTCTGTCTACCCCTGTAGTTATCAAATTTCGCCTCAACTCAAAACCGTAAACTTTTGACTCAAGTCCCTTACAGAACTCAGTGATTCAACTATTCTGGTCGGCAACAGCCAATCACTCTCTCTGTTGATCTACATACAAATTTATTTATCATTTATTTATTTATTTACGCCAATCGGCTTTATCCATTTATATTATAACACAATTTACAGTTATAATATATTAATTAATTGCACACTGAATGAATACAGTAATCTGTAGAAATACAATACTTTA